AACTTTTTTTTTTTTTTTTTTTTTTGGTTTAAACAAATCACTGATCTAGAACCAGAAAAGCTCTGTTCAAATGAGTTGGTTCACTGAACTAATTACAAATGGCATTAGAATAAAACTGTTCAGAATGCATTTGATGGTAATCAACATTTTCTGGTGTGCTTAATATTTCCTTGAATAAGTCATTTGAAAACTGGAACAAATATATTATGGGAAAATTCTAAGTTTGTATTTTTCAAATCAGATGGGCTATTTTACCATTATAATTTGCCTAATGTTAAAATATGCAAGGATACCACCTTCCATGGCATTGGGGCTTTACCTTTCTTTCTCTCTGACTAGAATAGATATGAACATGTGTAGGCCATATAGATAAAAATTAACATGTGAAGCCATATTTAAAGCTTTCTTTGTATATATGATATTTAAGTAAGTTATCTCGTTATGCTTTAGTAAAGTGATTTTGCTGTGTATTAAATATTGTGTACATGAAACTATGTTCTTTACATGTAGAAAGTTTTTCTGAACTATTCATTTGATGAGTACAGGAACAGATTGAAAGGAAGGACTAAGAAGAAATCATATTGTTTTTGAATGTGTAATTTTGCTCAGAAAATGTTCTGTATAACAGATATGTAGGGCACCTATAACGAATGAGTTGAAAAGGTTATTTTCAAATGCCACAAAGCTCAGATTACATTGTTGTTGGTATTTTCTCTACGTATATCCTCACCATCATTTCCTCGCTTTAGTTCTGGTCCAAAATTTGGTTTGATAAATGATTTTTATCAATAAAATATAATGAAAATGAGAGAGAGTCCATGTCTAATAATATTTAGTGATCATTTATTTATGTGCTATTTAGAGTAGACCCAGTTAGTCATTAGTGACAAAGATAAATTAGACCAAGAGTTTGATTTCAAGAAACTCACTTCTTGAGAGCAGAAACAAGGGGAAAAAATGAGAACCAAGACCTGTCATGTAAAGGTACAAGATCCCAATAATAAATGTAACTGTACTGTATACCTAAAATGTACCAATAAACTCAATGAGGAAAAAGAAAAGAAAGAAACTCACTTCATGTCATCATTGGATAGGCAACATTATCATGTTGAAATATATGGGACTTTTCTGCTTTTCTCTCAATTTGATGTCATTATAGTTTTTTCTTCATGCTTCCTTAGAACCTTCTCTAGTGTACATTTTATCGTTTTTCAAGTTTCTCATATACTTGGTAAACATACTTAAATATTAAGTGTATAATTTAAATGAATGTTGAAATATTGCAGAATTCATGTATGGCCCACATAAGCATCTAAGCATCTTAATATAAAAGCTACAAGTGGAAATGAGTTGTAAATGCGTGTGGGACGAGTATGGCAATAAAATTGCATCCCCAATTTAATGGTAACTCATTTGTTAAATGGTTTCAGACACTAGTCATTTATCTTTAGCTCTTCATTTCTAATCGACTTTTTTCCTTTTAATTGCAGTTTGTAAGCAGGAAAATATATAATGTTGGAAGTATTTATGTTTCGAGGGTGTTCACAAAAATGAAAAATGGGGAAACTGGGTTTCTTAACTTAAATTCATGACAAAAGAAAATATCTAGGAGGCTCAATCCAAGTAAAGTTTTAGACCTAAACTAATTTCTAACTACCACAGTTGGAAAGCAAAAAGATGTTTTTGTATGAAAATAGCAATTCACTGAGGATATCCTGATAGATTACTATGTGATATGACTTATCATCTGTATTTTCATTTTTTCTATAAATCTCATCAAGTGAAACTACTGTGAAGGGATTGTATCTTTTTATAAGGATAAGATGAATGATAATGAGTTTTCTTTGAACTGTCATATTTCTAGTTCGACATAACACAAAAGAAGATATAGGTTTCTTCTCTATTCTTTTGAGTTGAAGAATCCCATAGGGCAAAGAATCTTGCTCAATACTCAGCTAAAATGTATAAATGGCTAGTGGAGGGAAAATAAGAACTTTTAAAGGCACCATTTCAAGACCAATATCTTTGGTGTTAATTAGGTCTATATATTTGGTTCAATAATTGTCATTAAATTATTCTAAAAATAGAATTGGTGAGTTTCAGGCCTAACTGAATTCCCCTTGAAATATTTAGATTTCTCCTTTAAAAGGTCATGAGATTTATTAATTTCTTGATAGCAGCCATTCTTTGTGGGGTGAGGTGGAATCTTAGTATTGTTTTCATCTGCATCTCTCGAATGACCAGTGATGTGGAACATTTTTTCGTATATTTACTTGGTGTTTCTACTTCTGTGTCTGAGAAATGTCTGTTCATTTCAGATGCCCATTTTTGAATAGGGTCTTTATATTTGGGGGGCTGAATTTTGAGTTCTTTATATATTCTAGATAATAGCCCTTTGTCTGAGGAGCAGCTGGTAAAAATTTTTTCCCACATTGTAGCTTGTTTCTTAGTTCTGCTGATGGTTTCTTTTGCAGTGCAGAAGCTTTTTAATAAGATGAGATCCCACTTGTTAATTCTTTGTGCTAGTTTCAATGCTACTGAGGATCTGTTCATAAAGTCTTTTCCTATGCCAATGTCTTGAAGAGTTCTGCCTAACTTATCTTCCAGCAAATTTAGTGACTCTTTTTTAATATTATATCTTTAATCCACTTGGATTTTAGTTTAGTGCATGGTGAAAGATAAGGGTCTAGTTTTAATCTCTGGCAGGTTGAAATCCAGTTTTTCCGATACCATTTCTTAAAGAGGCTATCTTTCTTCCACTGAGGATGGTTGGCTCCTTTGTCAAAGATGAGGTAGCTGAGTACATCTGGAGTTGTTTCTGTATCTTGCAACCTATTCCACTGATCCTCAGGTCTGTTTCTTTGCCAGTACCATGCTGTTTTTATCACAGTGGCTTTGTAGTATATTTTCAAATTAGGAATTGTTATATCCACTGCTGTGTCTCTGTGGGCTAGGATGGCTTTTGCTATTCTAGGTCTCTTCTGGTTCCAAATGAATTTTTGGATATAGCAATAACAAATGTTGGTGGGGATGTGGGGAGAAAGGAACCCTTCTCCATTGTTGGTGGGAGTGCAGACTGGTGCAACCAATATGGAAATCAATATGGAGATACTTCAAAGAACTGGGACTAGAGGTTCCATTTGACCCGGCCATCCCTCTGCTGGGTATCTTTCCAAAAGAATTAAAAGAATCATGCCATAGTGATATATGCACACCCATGTTTATAGCAGCACAGTTTGTAACAGCTAAAACTTGGAACCAGCCAATTTGCCCATCAGTTGGAGACTGGCTAAAGATGTGGTTTTTCTATAAAATGGAATACTACTCAGCCATAAAGAATGAGAAATTAGAGTCATTCACAGGAAAATGGATGCATATTGAACTTATACTCTTAAGTGAAATAAATAAGCCACACATGTATAAATACCAAGTAGTTTCTCTGGTGTGAAAAACTATAATTGTACATAAGATCCTAATGGTATAATTGATAATGTGAACTAAGAAGAAAGGGGCTAAAGGTGCAGGGGAAGTGGGAAGGGCAGGGGAAAGGTAATAAGGGGAAAAAACATGAGAAATTGAAAAACTGGAAATGAAGTTTTTGTAAATAGAGAAGGGAGGAGGGGGCAAAGCAAGGGCAAGGATAAGGGGAAAAATGAGAACCAAGACCTATCAGGTAAAGGTACAAGATCCCAATGATGAATGTAACTGTACTGTATACATAAAATGTACTAATAAACTCAATGAGAAAAAAAATAAAAGGCCATGAGAATTTGATGACACCTTCTCCAAAGATGACAGGATATCCTACAGAGATAGGATAGCAATAACTTTAATAGAAACAAAATAGAAACTAGCACTTTTTGTACTTTCAAAAATAAAAGGGTGCTGGGTATGGTGGGTTACTCATGTAATCCCAGCACTTGGAGGCTAGGCAGGAAGTCTACCATGAGTTGAAGGCCAGTTTGGGCTATGTAGAGAGATCCTGAATCAAAATATCAAAACAAAACAAAAACAAAAAAACAAAAAGCCCAAATATGAAAAAATGACTCATAATGAAACAGTGAGTGACTTGCTTTGTAAGATTTTGTGTAACACATATTATTTTTCAATGTTATTTATAGTTTAGTCTTTGATTTTCAGTTAAAAATATTAGGCCAAGAAGGTAAAACAAGTCAAAGAAAGCTCTGTCTATAAATAATGACTTAGGAAAACTACATATTCAATTTACTTACTAGGAAGTTCTGGTGGAGGAGTTGGAACTAAAGTTGGTTCTGGATAAAGATTCTCATTGCAAATTCCATTTGTTAGGCTAATGTCATCCAATGCTATATCGCTCAGCCTTGGGTTTTTAAAAGCATTAAAAGCAATCTGAAATGCAAAGATGTATATTAAATGATTCTCTCTAATCTTTTATGTCTTTTCTTCTTGTGACTCAATAAACTGTGCAGAATCAACATTGTGATTGCTAAATATATGATAACTGAGTTACTGCACAGTAACGTATGGATGGGTTATGGTTTTCAAGCCCTTTTGATTTATATGTATTCACTTGCTCAGTTTTCACCTGTCTTTCTTCTAGGTTAAGAAATATTAAAATCTTTGACTGCTTGTCCCTGTCTCTCTTTCTCAGTTTTGTTATTCTCGATTATACTCTGTTATGCATACACATCATTAGGCAGCAGACATTGACCATATCCCAGATTCCTTTCTCCGAAGCTGGTACCCAGGGGCTATCAGCCTTCCTCGAGAATAGATACTCAAAGCAGACTCAGTGACTAGATCATTTAAATGGGAGATTAGATCAATTAAATGGGAGAAAGAATGATGAGATCATTCAGTGCTTGCTGTAATAGTCATAGTTCAATAGTCATAGTTTGGATGGGATCTTGTAGGTTGTCAGGGACAGAAAGCATTTGCACTTTCTTGAATACCTTTCTATATAAAAGAAGAAGCACATGAACAGAATACCTATCTTAGGAGTATTATATTAAATAAATGGTAAATGTCTTATTTAACTTTTGAGCACTATTGTACACTCCTCCGTTCACACATTCATTACATCTCACCTACTTCATGCCGGAGGACATTCTAAATTCTACTTTCTTCCTTTTGTGTACAAAACATCAAATTTCAAAGAGACTCAAGTGACTTGCTCAGGATTTGACATTTAAATAGCAAATTCCAAGTGCAAATATAGTAATTGCCCTTATCATGGAGGATATATCCCAATTCTCAGAAAAGATGCTTAGAATTGCAAACAGTACTGAACCTTAGATAGACTCTATTATTTTAAATATTACATATATTACTTATAATTAAGCTTAATTTATAAATTAAGTATAATTGGATGAATAAGATAACAGTAAAATAGAAGATTTATAGTAATGTACTATAAGAAAAATTATTTAAAATGTATGAATTATTTATTTCTGTAATTTTCCCTATAATGTTGGATTCTTGTTGACTGTGAGTGATTGAAACATGAAAAGCAAATTGTGGGTAAGGATTTGAGGAATTTCTGTACTTGTGGAGCTTGATACTCTTACTCTTCCAGATGAACTAAATCCAAATATAGGTATCCAATTATATCACTGTAGAAAAGATATTTAGCCATATTTGGCCACTGAAGTACTTATTTCCTCACTTCTAAATCTCTTTGTTCCTTTGGTGTTCCATTTCTCCTTACTCAGCCTTGGATTACAAGAAAGTAATCAAAACTGAGGAAGAAAACTTTACAGTAAAAAAATTCAAATGGAAGGGGTGGAATAAAAGGAAGGAAGGAAAATCAAGGAAAGGAAAGAAAGTGATAAAGCAAGGATGAGGATGATGTTCACTGATGACTGCTTGATTCTCATATGTCAAATCACAGGAGAGAGCTGCAGCCTCTGGTGCTGACAGAGTATGTCCAAATATATGTCTTCTAAATGTCATACTATCTTGCTCAAAAGTACCCAATTAGAGCGTTGTTAATTTGGCCCAACTAATTGTCTATGTTTTAATTGCAAAAACCCTTAGGAAGAGAACACATTTAACTGTTATCTGAAAAATTGATTCAGTTTAATGTGAAATAAATGATCGGAGACTTTGCAATGATACAGCTCATAGAAATTGTTTCTAAAGGAAGTGCATGGAGGTGAAGCCACAGTAGGGCGGGATAGGTGGATACTGACAGGCATGGAGGTCCTAATTGGAAAGGATGGTTCCAGAAAAGTTAAAGGCTGATCTATGTGGGGTTTGTGAAAAGGCGAAATTCTCAGGATGGTAGGGGAAGTAGGAAGACATGTTGGTCTGCTCTGTGAAGCTGATGAAGAAAGCTGAAATTGTCTCCAAAGTTTCAAAGGATTTTATGGATCATTATAAGCTGTGATTTTCAAACAGCAAACTGAATAGCTTTTAATAAGTCAATAAGTAAATGAAAATAAAAGTACTTGAAAGAAAAAAAGCGTAGAGATTAGAAAAATAGATTAAAACGGCTATCTTCAGAAAATAAATTATTAGTTTCACTGTTGTCATTGTAAAATTACTTACATCACCATAAATACAAATATAAATCACAAATTGTTTTACAAACCTTAAATTCCCTAGTTTCATTTAGTGTCACTTGTCCATAATTCCAATTTTGTCCATAATTTCCTTCTTTCTGGAAAATAGTCTTCTCCATATTTTCATCACTGCTAACATTAATGCTTAATTTGTAGACATTGTCACCATACATATAATACCTAGTTTTGAAATGAGCAAAAATGGTTGGAATGCTACCACATTAGAGTAAATGCATTTTAGATTTTTCAGATCCTTTATTTTGAAAATTTCTCTTCTTTGAATGTGAGAATTCCAAGAAGCAAAGGGAAATCTACAGAATTTTATTACTTTATCAATTGAAAAAGTAATAATACATGCACTGAAACACTAGCCAACATTTTAGTGAAATCTAAGCTTAATACCCTAAGAAAGGCAATGCTACTCATTAAGTCAGGCAATATTTAACATGTGTTTTTCTAGAAACTAAGAAGTAACTAAACAGAGCATACCAGAAACTAAGGCAGACTGGATTCAAAGAGGGGTCCAAGGGTAAACTTAAAAGTCCCACTCTTTCTTTTCTTCCTCCTGGACCAGTTGGTGTAGAAATATAAAATCCTGTAAAAGCAATTTTTAAAAGTTTTCATTTATTAAAATATTGGCATCTTCACTATGTGAGATGCATTATTCATAAGTAGAAAATAAAATTTTAGGATGAAAATACTGGGAAAACATTGTAGACGTGTGCACTGGGAATGAACACTGAGAGCACTGAACTATATTCCAGGGTTTTTTTTTTTCCTTTTAAATTTGTAATTTTAGACAGCGCCTCTCTAAGTTGCTCAGGCTGGTCTTGAATTTTTGATCCTCTTGCCTCAGCCTCCCGAGTAACTGGAATTATAGATGTAGACCATCACACCCAGCAGAAACATATACTAAAAATGAGAACCAAGACCTGTCATGTAAAGATACAAGATCCCAGTAATGAATGTAACTGTACTGTATACCTAGAATGTACTAATAAACTCAACAAAAAGAAAAAAAAATGGACAGGTCACTACTCTCAAATCTAGAAAGCAGCAACTTAGGAAAATTACTTCACAACTCTGGAATCCTCATTTTAAATTCATTTTAGTATATATTTTAATTAATTCACATTTTTTAGGCAATCAGTGCATGAGGATATTTAGACATGCTGGTAGGCTAACTCATGATTTATAAAAGATTTAAAGACGCAGCTGAAAGCAAGTTATGTGTTTCAAAAACCCTCAGTTTCATATTCCACTGACTACACTTCTTTTCTCTGAATGAGAAGTTATTTGATTTTATAAAGGTTTCATCTTCTATATTCCTTTGAATGACAATTAATCAGATTGTGGAGCAGGAAGCATGCTAATCCACGTAAAAGCTTTAAAAATAGCACAATCACTGCATAAAGTACTTTCTGTTCTAGAATTCATTATTCCAACCAATGATTTGAAGCATTCAAAAATGTACAAAGTAAGAACATCATAAGCATTTTCTTAGGGCAATTTTTTGTATTTTTCACTTTGTGATTCATAACAGGAAATGGGAACCAGGTGACAATAAGATATAGAATAAATAAAATATTATATTATTCAAATTTAATTGCAATGTGACTTTTTATAAATTGTTAAAATTTAGTGTTTGCTTGAAATCAAGTATCTTCCCTCTAAAAGTATAGGCTACATTGCTCTTAAAATTCAAACACTCATTTAACACGAGTAGAGTCAGATCCAGGAGTGAAACAAGTAACAGCAGAACCCTATAGTACAATAATTAGACCAGTGATGCGAAAACTTTTCAAAATAATTATTTTATTAATATGAAATAATTGTCAAATATCATAAAAGCAATATGTGTACATTAATTGGAGTTAGATTTTAAAGAGTAAAAGAAAAATACATGTTAACCTTTATATTACTAATACATTATTCATATTTTAGATATGATGTGATATTTCATGAATACTTATTTTAGCTATTTAGCTAGTACTCAGCTATATAACCTAAGAAAAAGAGCACATAGAACAAAGGAATGTTTCAGAATTCATTCCCTAAATCCCCACCTCCAAATCCATTTTGATATGATTTTACTTTTACTTGCTTAAAACATAGTTGGAAGGAAGTAATTAAAATACTACTGAATCCTATGAATAACTGAAAAGTTTAAAATATTCAAAAATACATCTAGTTAGTTGCAATTGTATAGCACAAACACACACTGTGCTCTTATTTATGTTTGCAGCTTTTGTAGTTCATTAATTATAATCTGAACAATTTTGAGTCTATTATTTATTCACTAAACAATAATATTTTAGTACAACCTAGATACGAGTTTATGTTCACATAAAGCAAAATTAACTATGTATACTTTAAAACCTTATTGATTTTGCATAAATAGTAAATAAATAAACAAACCATAGTAAAGGGCACATAGAATTGCACATTTAAAATATAGTAAAATACTCTGGTGTGAACAAACTATAATAGTACATAAGATCCTAATGAGATAATTGACAATGTGTAATAGGAAGAAAAGGGATAAAGGTGTAGGCAAAGTAGGAAGGGTAGGGGAAAGGTATATGAGAAGGAAAAAAATAGGAGAAAATGAAGAAAAGGAAATAAAATGTTTGTAAATGGGGAGGGGGAGAAGGGAGGGCAGGGATAAGGGGAAAAAGTGAGAACCAAGACCTGTCATGTAGAGGTACAAGATTCCAATGATGAAAGTAATTGTACTGTATGCCTAAAGTGTACCAATAAACTCAATGAGGGGAAAAATATAGTAAAATAAAATATAATGTTACCATATGTGTAATATAAGCTAAATTCTTTGGTTAACATATTAAAAGATAAAAGAAATCCTGCATAAAATGATGAATTCTAGATGTAAAGAACTGTAGTTTACACAAAACTTTAATCTGTTAAAGATTCATAAATTTTGGAGAAATCCTTCCTTATATTTCATTTGTGACAATTTGCCTATACAGGTCACGTGACATATTAACATTCCAGCCAGATAGGAATATTGTACCCTGGTGCAGACCATTTCATTTTAACATTTAAAAAAATTATTTCTCTTTTTGCAGATTAAGTTTTCATGCACATATTGTTTATGATTTTGATTTCTGGGACCAGTGAATTTAAGATATCTTTCTTAGCTCAACAAATGTTTACAGGTCACTTTCAGTGAGGAAAGAGATTAGGGCAGGGGCAAATCCCCTCAAGCAAATAGACGCGATCTAAATCCTGAGACCCAGGGCACGTGCGCAATTCCTGAACTTCAGACATGGGCCCAGACAGAGAAATGGCATCTTCAGCTCCTTATTTACACACAGTGTGAAACCAAATGAGCCTTTCACAGCTTAAATCTGATGCCAGGTCTAGTGCTCTTTTGATAGGACAGTCATCCTAAATGTCTTATTTGCACGAGGGAGCAGCGAATTCCAGATACAAAAGAACCTTGCCATTACTCTGGTGGCTGCTGTGAGCCTTTTCACTAGCCTGTTCTCACTGCAGAACTTACTTCTCTTCCACCTTCAGTGAGTGTAAATCCTGCTGCCTTTTCTGCGCATCTTATCTACACTTTTCTTCAGGACACCAAGAACCTGAAAAAATTTCACTAGGACTCAAACACTGATGACATTAGATCCCTCTTCAGTCTTATTAAAACTTTCCTGCCTTTTTGCTTTCAGTAATTTTAAAGTGACACAATTTCACCTTGCATCTTCTTTTGATAAGCTCTCACAATTGTCTTCATTTAGCATAGTATTTTTGTTGGCGTATCTTATTACTCAGAGAAGAAATTGCAGTAGTAGGGATGGTGGCTTAAGCCAAACCATCATTGTCGCTATTAATTTCCAAGTGGGTCTCATTTGATTTTCTGTAGCCTGTCTTTGGAATTCTTCATTATCTACACCAAGGTTTGATACTGCTTCTTTATGTGCATTCTAATTGGCCTCTTATTACCTTTTTACTTTTTAATTTTATTATTATATGCTTGCAGTTCATAATAACTACATTATTCATGGGGCATTGATATATTTACATATCTAATTAGTTCCTTATTCAGGATATTTTAAGCGCTTTTGTCCTGTTAAATCAAGTACAAATTCACTCTGAGATGTGAGGCCTCATATCTGTGATGTCGATGTTTTCCAGCCACAGTTCATATAATTCATCTATGTGTATATATAGCATGTTGACAAATTCGTATTATTTTAATATTTATGCTACAGTTGACTGGGTCCAAAATAGTCCAAGTTCTTGTGTATGACAAGGAAAGAATTGCCAAGCATATGTTTCAGTATGTGGCAAGGTTATTGAAGATCACTAAGGTGCAGGAACAAGCAGAGGGGCAAAGATAACAAGAAAAAAAAAGGGTCCCAATAACTCAGTCTTCCAGTGTTTGTAGTCAGACACCACTGATTCAAAGTGACTCCCACTGTTTCTCTTTTTGATGTCAGCAGTCAGCAGCAGCCTCTTCAGCTTCAAATGAGATATAGTCATTAGGGCCGTGTTTGGCTTATGGTTGAACGGAGAAAAGGGAAGTGCCTCGCACAACCTCCCTGTTTTAGGGCTATAGAAGCCTGGATAATCATTAAGGATGTGGTGTTGAAGGGAAGGGAGTCGTTTACACAGCCATTTGTTTCTAACTGAACTATGTCTAAACTTCTAACATTTTTGGACTCTTTGGGTCATTTCTCTAATTTCCTATACTTCTCTATCCCTTTCAATTATGCTTTGTTAAAATCATACCGATACAGGGAAGGAGAATAAAAGTAGGTAGGAAGGAGACAAGGAAAAATCATAATTTAAAAATTGTACTTTTAAGAAGACTGCAACTTCAGGACGCAAAGTTACCCAAGGTTTTCTATCTGCCCTTCCTCAACTTTTTTATGTTCCTTTACTCTAGGCCTATCACACCCCAAATCTTTTTGTTTGTTTGTTTGTTTTGTTTTGTTTTTTGAGACAGGATTTCACTATGTAGTTGAGACTGACCTGGAACTCACTATGTAGCTCAGGCTGGTCTTGAACTTTCAGTGATCCTCCTGCCTCAGCCTTCTGAGTGCTGGGATTACAGGTGTGCACCACCACACCCGGCTCATACACCCCAAGTCTTTAATCAGATTTTAAACCTATAAATTAGCTTAGATGATAAAGTAAAAGCCAGAAACCTTACTTTAAAATAGAGAAACTGATTCAAAAGTTTCAAGAAGTATTTTTAGGCAAAACATCCTGGATCACCCATCTTAAAACAAAACCAAAATTAATAAACTGGGCCCATCCCTTTCACCTGTAAAATGGACTATCCCTTCACCAGTAGAATGAGCCAGTATTTTTCTACCTGTTGGTCAGGGTGGCTTTTCTCCTGCAAATAAAGCCCAAACTTTCTGTAGATCCACAAATTGCACAGATTTGTACCCCTCAAACACATAAATATCCTCAATTTCAGAAAATAATACCCACCTCTTGCCCTTCTGAAGGCCCATAGTCTGATTGGCTAGGTGTATTATTTTAATTCTGCCCACTAAATCTCTATATTCCTCATACTGATATGTCCTGAGATTTTTGTGCAGTAAATCTGCAACTTGCCCCTGGGTGGGATGAGCCAGAGATCCCCACCTCCACTGTTGGGACCACTTTGGACCCTGTTCAACAACTCTACTAATACTTGAGACCACTTAATCAAATGTCTATCTCCTTAGAAAGTCTTTCACTTGAAATAACCACTCTTAAATTCCCAGTGGTACCTCACAGCAAGCAAGTACTGTATCATATACTGTCTTGCATTTCTTACATTTAAGCGTAATATATAAGTTCAAACTTGCTAGAGCTTTGGGTAAAAAGAATGATAACTTGTTCATTTTTATAGTCTTATAAGGATTAGCTGAATGTTATTTAATATATCCTTGTTACATTTACTTGACCCCCTTTTACATTTAATAAAATTCTTTACAAAAGAAATTATTAAATAGACATTTTCCATAATTATATGGAACTTATATAGTCAGATGATTATTTCTTTTAAAACCTTCAATTTTCTTGAAAGGTCCTCTAGTACTCTTGGCATTGAGCAAAATCAGTGAACACAGTGACCCTCTTTTTCAAGCTGTAAGTTTTCCATACAACTTCCTTCTTCCAATTTTTCTGTTTGTTTCTCCACGAACAGACTCTAACCTCTTCCCATCCAATAACTCAGTTCAAGAGAAAAAGTTTTCAGTGTATGTTGATGCTGACATAAACACCAGAACCTGAAGGGATAATTGTGCTTTCTGGAAACTTGGAGTTCCTTTTAAGAAGAAAAACAGGCTGGTAAAAGTGACTTTTCCAGTTATAAGTGTTTATATAAAATTAACTGGACCTAGTAGATAAATATTATTGGAAATTTAGGTTAAAGAAGGTCCACGTTCAGTTAGATTCCATTAATATTGAGAAGGTACTATCATTTTCTAAATTTTGATCCCTCAAGAAAGATAAAAAATAAGCTTGTTTGAAAACCTTAGTTACACACAGAAACCATTTATATATTAAATGAAATGCAAATTGTTAATTACTTTTTTCATTACTGAGACAAAAAAGCCCACACCCAAGGTTGAAGGAGTATTTGGTTCATAGTTCATACAGATTCCAGTCTCTAGCTGGCTGGCTCCAAGGCAATGAAGACGTTGACTCAGGCAATGCAAGCATCACCTTGCCAAGGCAGGGTGGCATGGCAAAGGGGCACTGCAGAAGAGAAACAGTCCATGGCAAGCAGGCAGGTGAGAACACATTAGCCCTCCTCATGTCCCCTATATTTTATGCTGGCTCTCTACACTAGGGTGGGTATAGCAGTCATACCTTTAATGTTAGCCAGAACTATGCCAAACCAATCAGTGGACTGATTTAGTAATCACACACAGCCTTGATTCTAGCACCACACACTTTAGAATCCAGCCACTTCTGAAATTGCACCCATCCCATGATCCCATGTTGAGGGGACACCTGAATTATTTTATTTTTCAAACTTGAAAATTGAGCCAATTAACTATTTTCCTTGACAGCATACTACTTAGCACAGTACTTCAGATAATTGTCTCTGGCATGCTTTTATGTTATGAAAGGAAAATAGTTATAATATCTAGCATGAAATTTTTCATGTATCATACATTTTTCTAAAAATATGTTTAGGTTAATCAATTTAATATGTGTTACATGCCTCTAAAATTAAGTCCTGGACCTCACCTTCTAGATGTGAGAACTGAGGCAGGGAGGAGAGATAATATTCGTAAAGGGAGGTCAGATTTAAACTCAGGTAAGGCTCCACGGTCTACATTTTAATGATCTTTGGTTCTTCACTTTGCCGCCTTTCAAATATTAGAACAATTATGATTCCATTGAGACAGACAATGAAAGCATCACTTTTCTTTGGGCCATCTATCTCTTTTGTGACCCTACATTTCTGAAATCTTCACATGTCACTAACCTTATTTCCCCTTGGTGTTATGAACAAATGAGCACCCCAACATACTGCTCTACATCAATGTCACCATCTCCCCCAATTTCTTTGGCTTCTAAGTGGTACAGAGAAACCTGGAGTGAGGGCAGTGCATAGATTGAAGAGCTGTGCCACTTCCTAGAGAGTGTTCTTCAGAAGGTCTGGAAAAATGAAATGCTAATTCAAAGTCTATCTGTTTCATTTAGGTTTCTCTGTCATTTAAAGTGAAGGCAAAGAACAAAACAAAAGAAAACGTTTACAGCAGGAGAGATTTAATTCTCCTGTCATTTCAGAGTAGCATGTTCTGAGACTTAAAAGAAAGCCAGTTGGAAGAAAAATGCCCCTGGGGGTGAATAACTGGTAGACTATGCAATCACAGGTAGAAGAGTTTAGAGGACCTATCAAGCCCTACCATCGTCCTCATTACTTTGCTGTCTCTGGTGCACTCTGATCTGCTCTACCTTATCTAATTTTAAATAACTCCTGCTACATGACTTTCTCCTGAGGCTTCATTTCCCTCCCAACTATTTAAAATCTCCACCTGACATTCAACCTATTTCACTTTGGTCAGTTCCATCTTCTTTAGTTACTTAATCTGTTGGCAAGCTGAAATCATTTTTCTCCTGTGATGTACTTGTACTCTTCAAATAGTAGTGGAATTATTTTATCCCTGTTATGATGACCTAAAAGTAGAAAAATGATAATTTGAACATCAAACATTTCAGCTACCTAAAAAAGTATCTGTCAGAGTCTAGCTATAAATACTTCCTGCACTTTCCTCTATTCTTGTCCAAGTGTGGTAGAGAGATTTTTTAAATACTATAAAAAATAAAAGGATCTCATTATTTGACTACTTTAGGCCCTCTTCAGAGGGCCATGATGCTAATCATCTGGGGGATCAGTCTTTAGTTATGCAGGCCACTAATTTATCCATAGGGCATTAGGCTCTTGGGAACATTACTCAAAGAAGATTAATAATGTGAGGGAATACACGCCTTCATTTTCAGTAATATTTTTGGTCTCATGGGATTAGCCATCTATGCAGAGCATATATTTTATGAGTAAGTCCACTCTGGTAATTTAACAAGATCCTGTTGTCATTGCTTTCAAACCCATATCCAGTCTGATGTCTTCTCACCATATTTGCTGCCTGATCTGAGTCCTAAGATCCCTTCTCAGTGTCAGGGGTCAGCATTGCACTGGTCTTTCTGTAAACACTCTTGCCCTTCAACAACCTATTCTCTGACTGTCAGTTCAAGTGACTTCTGCCACTCTTGAACTCAGTAACCTCAATTAGCTCCCACTTTCCTGCTGGGAAAAAGCCAGAAGTACAGAAGCACCACTATCATCTGGAGCCTGCTACCCTCCTCACCCCTCACGCCTTTGTTTAGAGATTACATTTGATACAGATATTCACTTTTTAAATTTACAACCAAGGCATGCTGTTCCAACTTAAGACTGGCCACTTATATAGTACTGTAATTTTTGTTGATTGTATTGCACAGTACTGTAGTTTTACGTTCTCTTGTACATTATAGTACTACATGTAAGAATTATGCAAAGAAAAGCAAAGTCATCACGTTAGAGTTTCCTCTGGCCATTTCTTTGTTCTTAATATTGTAATGTACATACTATATCCAATTCCTCAGTGACCAGTTCAGTAAATGACCTAGTCACGGGAATGGAACTTGGTTGTTAAAGGAGGAATGTCTGTATAATGAATATGTGCTGCCATTGCTTTTGGCAAAGATCTTCCCACTACAAGTTCCTTATCTCCAGATACTTCTCCGTAATTTCAACTTTCTTAGTCAAATATTATTGCCTCCAATGTCAATGTTTCCATTTGCAATTCAATTTTATTGTCCTATTCAAATAAAAACATGAGCATGCCCATAAGATATGTTCTGCAATCAGCCATCCATAAGGTTTCCCAGAAATAAACCTATCTCTATTTCAAAATGATGTGATATTGCATATAGATACTTTGAAGAAATTCTTTAATAAAAACATATAAGTTCAGCAGAGTTCCAGGGTGCAAAATCAATATCCAAGACCTGACTGTATTTTTGTACTCTGGAAATGAATAATCAGAAAATGAAATCAGGTCACAGCAAGTAAACAATCAGGAAAGTTAATTACCTCCCAAAGGCCTACTTAGTTAACAAATGGCAAATCTAGAGCAACAGCCTTGTCTCCCTGTCTGTAATGGCCTGTGCTTGCTTCTGAATTATCTTATGAATGAATGGATAAATAGAGTAAAATAATATGCTTCATGAAACACTTTAATATCTGACTACCATTTTCATGGAATTGGATTTATTACCATGATTTAACAAAAAATCTGAAAAGCCGTTTTCATTTAATACTAAAAGTAATGAATGTACTGAATGAATACCCCTTTTCTTTTGACTCATAAGTAAATATAAACTATACCTGAAATGTTGCCAAAAGTGTGGTCAGAATTTGGCCCAGTAGAGGGAGGGAAGGTGATTCCCTGAATCCTTTCCCACTCATTGTCATCATGTAGATCCTGGACCCAGAAACAGAAGCCATCCTCAAAATGACAGTTTATTTTCTCATAATCTGTGATTAAAAAGAAGGAAAAAACCCTTCAATTTAGTAAACTGTATCAACAGATTACATGGAAAGGAATCTCACTTTATACATCTTAGAATTTAATGACATATATCATAACCTTTATTAATTTTAATTGTTTCACTCCATTTAGTTCTTATTTATAATTTATTTATTTATTTATTTATTTATTTTGGGTACCGGGGATTGAACTGGGGTCCTTGCGCTTGCGAGGCAGGCCACTGAAGCGCTGAGCTAAATCTCTGGCCCTAGCTCTATTTAAAATAACTGAGCTCTTTGTTTAAATTAATGTCTTTCTTACACTTATTAGATGGTTGGCAAATACAAATTTTGTGATTTAATTTTGTATCTTGTCTCCATTGGTTTATCTATGTGAACTTTATACTATATTTTGCCTCCTCTTATAACTAAATTTAATGATTTGATGAAAATTCAGTTCATGCAGAAATTTCTCTGAATTATTTTATGCTGACCATTTTTACTTCTAATATCTGTATAATACAAAAGTTAATTTAATTTTATATTAATATGATTTTTCTCAAAATGATTATTTGATTCCCATGGAGAATATTAACCATTTTCTTCTTTCTGTTTAAGTATCAAGTAAAGAGAGATGCCCATAAAAGATAGTAAAGACCTTGAAAAATGACAGCTTTAGTTTCTACTACTTTAAAAATTCTATTGAAATGTTAAAGCATATGCAAATTAAAAGGCTGATTACTCACTATTAAGCTCATTGGTGTTAAATACAGTATATGATGCATTGAAGCCAATATAATCATTTTCATCAGATTGGATGAAAAGGATGGCAGTAACTTGGTTGGAAAAAATTCTAATTATCCCAGGATCAATTTCAGAAATGGAAGCTACAAAAGAATATGAGCAATGGTTATGTATCTATCATCATTCCATCCATTCATTCCCTCATCCTGTTAATTCATCAGTTTAATGCCTGATTCATCAATTCTTCTCTCCGATATCATTCGGTTAATGAAAAGCATTGCTTGTATAACTAATTTTAATTGAAATTTCTGCTAAGCATTAGAAAAGATCAAGTTATTATACAGTTTCATGGTTTAAAAAAGCATGTTTCTCATTTTTAATTACTAGGAATAAACAGTGTACACATATATCAAAAGAAATGTGTTTTCATTGAAAAAGTTCCTTTAAGAAACACAAAGTTTAAGCAGTTATCAAACTACATGTTTCACTCTATCAGTTATATTCTGTATCACACTAACAGGAGTTAAAAGAGAATTGCAGTAGTGAAAAGTAAGAATGTATCCTTGGCTTTCTTCCCATATAACTTTAGGATCTCAGAATAATACTATATCAGTTAAGGATTGGTCCAATAACATTTTTAATGGTCTTATTATAGTTCTGCTTTAACTCTAAGCTACTTAGGAGATATCTTTCTATTTTTGATTCTCACGAGTTAGTGCAATGCTTGGCATATGAAACATTCACATATGATAAATTGATAAAAATCATTGTTATCATACACTTATAGAAATATATAGGGTATCAGACTCAGGTCTGTATAAAGCACCACTCTTAAAGATCGGAGAAAAAGACATTCATGTTATTTATTGAATTTTAGCAAAAGATACATTTGTGATCTATTGGATATTCCAGAAACTTTTTATTTCTCTTTCTTGCTTTCATTTTCACAGTATTGGAATCCGTTTGCATGTGGCTTCTAATTGGATCTGAATAAAGACAGTGGCTGAAAGTCTCTGTTATGGCTTATATCTAGATGTCCCTCTCAAGCTTCCAAGCAGCGTTTTTCAGAGTTGGCTGAATCTGGAATGTGTGATGCTGGAATTAGGGACACGTGATTGCTAAACCACTACACATGAGTGACTGGTTTGGCATGGTCCTAGTGCCAATTGTCTGGATGGGACAAGAGGGACAGAAAGACTTTAGTTAAGGTCCTTTGTTGCTTTTGCTCCCCTGTACACACCATGTTGTTTCTCCTCTGTGATGTTTGTCTGTCATCCACCCTGTCTTGGAGCCAACCAATTGTGGACTGAGACCTCTATGAACTGTAAGCCAAATAAACCTTTCCTCCTTTAATTTTGGGTGTTAGGGATTTTGTCTCAGCAAGGAGAGAAGAGTAACTAACAGTCTCCTTTGCTAGTTGTAATGGGTTAGATAGTCACTTTTTAAAATGTTATTGTACTCTGCTTATGTTCTAAGGTCCACTAACCTCCTTCAAAAATACACACAACCTCCAGAAAGGTTGTAGAACACATCTGTATAATTGTATAAAACTTTCCATTTTTTATAGTTTTCTTAACCAAAAAGAACTGCAGATCATATGAAATTAAGGTATTCTCTTCATCCATAAATGTAATAAAAGGTATAGAAAAAAGCTGGAGTTCTATAGTAAAAATTGAATTTATTCTTAGCTCCCTGTCTTACTAGTTTTCTGTGCATCATTTTCTTCTCTTGTAATAAAACATCTCCTATAAAGGTTTATAATAAGAAGTAAATAAATAATTTCTTTGTGCCAAAGTGAATGGTGAGTAGTAGTGCCTGATGAATGTTAACTATTTTTTCCTCTCTTGCCAATTAGATCTTAAAGGGAAAGATTAAGACTTAATGTTTTCTGTGCCTCTGTCATTGTGCTAGAGCATGGGAACTCTGTGGTCAATATTTGAGCATATGCAAAAAGATGGGAATCACTAACAGAGTTTGTTTACTTTACAGAAGGCATGTGGTGAAAGAAAAAACAACTGTATAATATTTTTTAAAGGTGAAATTTTCCTAATATTATATTATAGTGGACAGAAGAATTTTTGACATTAATCCCTTAAGAAATCCAGTGTTTTTATCTAAAATTTGATGTTTTTATGGATATTAATTTATATAGACGACAATTAGTCACATTTAAATGTGAATTAATTTTTCATTTGTCTTCTAAAAACAGTAACTCTGGTGAGTAGAGTTTTGTGGAAGAGAATAGGGAAGCATTAAAAAGAGGCAGGGGAGTCTGGAAATAGAAAAATGGACGAGAGTGTCAGACTTTCTCCAGAGTATGGTTCAACGGATGTAGTTCAAAGATATTTACTTTATCCGACTTATAAAATTACAAATGCTGCCATTGAAATATTATCTGCATAATATAAAAGACTTCTAGTATATAAACCATATTGAATGTCCCTGATGATTTTTTTTTCAGTTTTTACCCAACAGTTTATTGCATAAAACATTCTGTAAAACAAAGACTTATTGATTCATTCAACTTGATCCAGACTATTTTAATGTTTTATATTAAGCAGATTATGACATAATCAAAAGAGAATAACCCACAAAAGAGATGATCTGAATGCACTTTCACTTTCAAGACTAATCTGACCTGATCTAAATGACACTTTTCCAATTCCAAGCTATTGACTCATCTGTTTATGATGAATTTACTATATGTGCTGATTTCATTGATGAGAAATAAACACATTCCTTTTTAGAAAAATTCAGACTGATGAGTTACTAACTCTAGAATTATTAAGTATGGGAAAATTGCTATGTACAGAGGAAGAAATTCTTTGGGAGCTTCTGGAAGGGACAACTCTTTAAGTAGTTCTTGTTAAACTTTTCCCTTTGTACATCTCTATCAACAAAAGTCAGTGAAAGTATAAGAGAATACACAAAATGTCCCGGTGAAAGCATAAAATTTATTGAAAATGCTTTGCCTTGTAAAATATTTGCAACATGTTACTTAATTTCATATCCACAATATATTTCTTTTTATTGTAGGACAAACAGTTCAGGAAGATCCATTACATTTATTATAGAGGGCTGGGGCCTAACGGAACAAGTGGGCCTGGCACACATATGTTAACAGCGCCTTGTTATCCTCAGTCACAATTGTTAGGTAGTAGCAATCTGACCTGCACTTATACTGACTCTTTTAATCACTTTATTTCTTAGTCCTTCAAGAGACTGAGGAGCAGAGTGAATAATAAAAAAAGAATAGAGATTATACATTTTTTAAATTGAGTTTATTGGTACAATCTAGGTATACAATACAATTACATTCATCATTGGGATTCTGTACCTTTACATAATAGGTCTTGATTCTCATTTTTTCCCCTTGTCCCTGCCCTCCCTTTACCCCCTCCTCCCCTCCCCATTTACAAACACTTTGTTCACATTTTTTCAGTTTCTCATATTTTTTTCCTCTCCCTTATTACCTTTCCCCCACCCTTCCTATTTTCCCTACACCTTTAGCCCTTTACTTCCTATTTCACATGATTAATTTTAATAATGAGATTATAAATGTTTATAGCCCCTGCAATGTCAGAGAAAAATAGAATAATACTTAAGGCATATTGGAATTTTGTCTAATGGGGAATATCATAGTTTCTCATATTTTTTTCCTCTCCCTTATTACCTTTCCCCCACCCTTCCTATTTTCCCTACACCTTTAGCCCTTTACTTCCTATTTCACATGATTAATTTTAATAATGAGATTATAAATGTTTATAGCCCCTGCAATGTCAGAGAAAAATAGAATAATACTTAAGGCATATTGGAATTTTGTCTAATGGGGAATATCATTTAAATAATGCATAGGAAATAAATATACAATAATGCACTTATATGCTTTTTGAAGCATCCATTATGAGAGCAATATGTGAAATAATTACTTTATTGTGAAGTGATTATTTTGCTATGAATTTCTTACTTTATAGTCAATCAGTTATAACTTTTACAAATAACTGTTCTATTTTTAAATTTATTTTTATCAGTACTTGCTTCAAAACATAATGAATGCATTTATTGTGCGGAATTGGTACACATGCATATCGACTATTCCCTTTTGGTCAATTACGTATATTTCAGGTTGATATTAAGTTTAAAATCAAAGGAAAAATATATTCTGAAAGCAGCACATATCTTTTCATTTTGATAATGGATTATATGTTTGTTTTACTCACCTCTTAAAATCCTGCTTGATCCTACACCTTCAAAAATATTTAATAAATCTGTATAATGTAAATTAAAGGAATCGAACCTTAGTTCAATTGACAGTCCTTGGTTTACACTACATTAAAAACAAAAACAGAAAAAGAGTATAATACTTCCAGGCATAATAATCTTTAATAGATTCTAGATTTTAATGTACTTTATTAAGTTAAAAATCACATAATATGAGATCTACCCTCTTAACAAACCTGAAGCATTCAGTACAGTATTGTTAACTTTTAATACAAAGTGGAGTAGCATATCCATAGAGCTTATTCATCTAGGACAAGGAAACTCTATCCATTGAACAACAATTCCCCATTGCTCTGTCCTTTTTGCCCTCACCTCCATCATCCCACTTTCCATGAGTATAAACTGGGATTAGATCACATAACTTTTCTATTTTTAATTTTTTTGAGGAAATCACATATTGTTTTCCATAGCAGCTGCACCATTTTTACATTTCTATTCATTCAAAAAGGATCTGATCTCTCTGGATTCTTGTCATAGCCTCATGACCATCCCATCAAGTATAAGGTATTTTCTCCTCATGGTTATGATTTGCATTTCCCTGATTATTAGGGATGATGAGCATCTTCCCATGCATTAGTTGATTACTTGCATGTCTTTGGACAAATGTTTATGAAAGTCTTTTGATTTTTTTTGTCACATTAGTTAATTATTTTCATAATAAATTGTAGAAAATTCTTGTACATTTAGATATTAACACTTAACAGATATACAATTAGCTAATGTTTACTTTCACCATGTGGGCTGTCTTTTTACTCTGTTGATTGTATTCTCTGCTGTGCAAAAGCTTTGCATTTTGATGTAGTCTACTCAACTATGTTTGCTTTTATTGTTCATGTTACTGCTGTCATAGACAAGAAATTATTGAGAGACTACTGTCAAAAAATGTTCTTTGGTTTTCTTATAGGAGTTTTATTGTTTTAGTTTGTGCACGTAAGTCTTTCTTTTAAAAAAAAACATTGTTTTGTCTTATTGACCATTTTAATTTTGTTCTGTATTATGAATATTATTTTAGCTTTTCAGGTTCCTGTATGGTTTTATAAAAATTTTAGGGTTTTTTACCATCTCTGTAAAATTGCAGTTAATATTTTGATAGGGATTGCATTACCTCAATTTGAAGCAGGAACATTTTTAACAAGAACAAGTCTTCCAATCCATATACATTGTCATGAAAACTATCATACTCTACAACTGTTATTTTTACACTTAAATGCCTACCAATTTATGTGACTCAAGCACAGAGAATATTTTACGTTTTCTTTGTAGAGAGAATGTTCTTCGTAGAAAGACACTTTGTAGAAACTAGTACGTGGTTGTTGCTATAAGAAATAATCTGCTGTAAAATATGATGTATGTAATTTTCATATGAGTGTAGGTAGAAGTGTGACAGGTTTGTAAGAAAGTATAAATTTGATATTTCAATAGAAGATTTTAAATTTCAAGTGGTTTGGGGGAAAAGTGTCTTTTGAAGTGAGGAGAACCTATGGTACGCATATCACAACCGATTGCTATCATTGAAAGCTTTAAAAGGGTTGCCATCGGTGGTCTACAGCAAGCACTATGTACAACTCCACTACTTCAATGAAGTCGGGATTAGAATGTAAGCCTTCTTAGAATTGATACTAGAGATAGAGCAGAGAAACGAAGTCACACTGTTTTCTTTTTCCCTGTGCTTCAGAGCAACTAATTCATTTGCAATAAAGGCACAGGTATTTAAAGAACAAAAGTAATATAAAAATCTAATGCTTTCGTAACAGTAGACATCTTTGTTATCTTTTGAATTTTTAGGAAGAAATGGGTACATTTCTGAATACATTTGGTACTTTTATATTTTTAGATACTCTTTTAATAGACTATTTTTATTGAGCTTGTAATATATGCTGGGCAATTTATATTTATTTTTAAAATTTTACAGTGACTGATTCTAGTAATTAAAGAAGCTGAACTCTATAGATGAAGGTGTTTGGTATCGGATAATTTGTTTGTCTCAGATAACACTTCTATAATCTGAAGAAGCTAGAGTTGAACACACATAGGTTCTCTCTAATATCCACATTCTTAGCAATTGGCCCCATGGTAAATATAACCATAATGTTAATAGTAGATGAGTACAGTCTGAGTTATAGTTTCATTGCATATTACATATTTTCCACTACTTATTTTGTACTCCAATTATTTAAAGAAATCATTTCTTTACACCTACTTTCATCATTGCTGGAGGAAAGAAAACCCCCAACTATATGGTAAAAACATCTTTGATACAGCTTTGAGAAAATAGGTTATTTATGTGACTAATTGAATTATAGTTTTATCATGAGGTGAGGTATTTATTTTTTAGTTTCTATACTCTTTTCTGTGCCTATAGTAAATTCCTCACATTTTAAATAATGAAATGTATGTAAAAAGAATAAACAAATTATTAATTAAGATGGTTATTATATAGATGATATTTTCATGGTAGTAAAAGATTTTTGGTGCTTTCTGCTTATAAAATCTTTAAACATAATCTACCTTTATTAAGAAATGAATTTAAATGTCAAAATTATTTTTATTTAGTATTACTAAGGTTCTAAAGATTTTTTGTGAATAAATCATTACATAACTGTATTTCAATACTTCTTATATTCATATGAGAACAAAGTATTTTTCCACTTGAAATATCTGGGTGGGTCATCAGTGTAGTGGTGTGATGGTTGATATCGAGATGACTCGCCAAAGCCTCATGTGCTCATAGTTGGGGCTTTGTGGAGGTGACTGGACCCTGTGGATTTGCTACTTTTCAATGGATTATTCCACTGATGAGTTTATAACTAAATGATGTGATGCTGGTCAAAGGAGGTGGGTGACTGGAGTGTAGCCCGGAAGGGTCTATCTCTCTCCCTCCTTCCTTGGTCTCTCTCTCAGCTTCCTGATCACCATGCCCAGAACAACTCTCCTCTGCCCTGCCCCTTTGCCAATTGTGAACTGAAACCTCTACAAATTATGAACCAAAATAAACCTTTCCTCCTTTAAGTTGTGGATGTCAAGTATTGTGTCCCAGTGATAAGAAAGTAACTAAGATATTCAGATATTTGTGCTTGTGTATGTGTGTGTGTGTGTGTGTGTGTGTGTGTGTGAGAGAGAGAGAGAGAGGGAGGGAGAGGGAGAGAGAGAGGGAGAGAGAGAGAGAAAGGATTGAGAGCCTCACTTTATAATTTAGTCTGGCCTTGAACTCACGATGGAGCTGAGGCTGGCCTCAAATTTGAAATGATCTTTCTGTCTCAGCCTCCCACGTTCTGGGATTACAGGTGTGTGCCACTATGCCTGGCTAGACAATCAGGTATTCCTCTTCTTTTCAAAATGCTTAGGTAAATATTAATATCAGCTATCAGCAGCCTTATTGTGCTGATCATCATTGTGATTTTTATTAGTCAATTGAATTAAAAGCTTGGAAGTCAAATATGTAGTAACTCATCCAAAAATTACTCAAGATACAGCAAATAGGACAGGGGAGCTGGAGATATAGCTCAGTGGTGGAGCTCTTGCCTAGCATGTACAAAGCTAATCAAATCACACTATTCAATATTTTCATACAATTATTAGCATTTTAATAGAGGAATTATAGTTAGCTTTCCATATTCCTGGATTTCGAATCCACAAATTCAACCAACTGTTCATCAACAATATTTGAGGTATTTCCTCTTGTCTGTAAACAAGGCAGCATACCAACTATTTACATTGCATTATTTTAAACAATCTAGAGATTTAATGTATAGGCAGGGATGGAGGGGTTGAAGGACTGGCAGGGGATGGGAAAAATAACAACCAAGATGGATTACATAAAGGTGCCAATTTCCAATGATGAATATCATTATATTATATACCTTAAATGTACCAATAAAATTAATTAAAAAAAAGAAAATAATACCCATTTAAGGAAAACACTTAAAGTACTAAGACCCTGCATCAAGAAAAGACTTCAGAACCACACAGGATGTAGAACTCTGCATCCTACATACCTTATGATCCACTGACAAACAACACTTGATGTAGATAGGTTTGGATAATGGGCAGCTTGGAAAGACCCAGATGATCCAGTTAATAAATATCTTCCATCACAAGGGGTGGCTGCAGAAAAATGCCAGTTAATCTCAGACTGTGTTGTATTTTCTAATGCCACAATAGAGATATTATAGACGCACCATTTCGTCTCTGGGAAGCAGGGGTAAACGTGTAAAGGAAATATCCAGGCAAGTAAAACACTACATCTTCTCTAAATTCTTAAAAATATAGTACAGATTACATTTGCAACAATACTCTGTAGTAAGGTGAGAGGCAAGAAAAAAAGAAGCCGGCAAAAATATTTGTAAAACCAGCTTGCAAAGTTGGTGAAATTTTGGTAATTCTTTAAATTCATAATTTATTATTATTCTATTTCTTAGAAGGGTATCAAATGGGCTTTTTGTGTACAAGGTCATTACTTTTTTGAAAAGCTGAACTGTGTTCCTTACGGTGGTGGTTCTTCTGTATGTGACAGACTCTGTTTAAGGCCATTCCAAGGTACATGATTATATTCATGTTTCACATCTCATGCAGTCAGATGAAGGCATGTGACTAAGCTGCTTTGTGAGCTATTGTGAAAGCGGTCTTGTTAATTTCCAAATGTGATTTCTAAAACATAACACCCCCCAACAAACAAGCAGATGAAACTTCTGTAACGTGCTTCCTCTGCCTCTGAGCAGGTCCTAACAGATCCTTTGGAAGGACGTCAGGGCAGCAAGGGTGGCAGACCAGAAGTGAGTATATTCAGTGCCTAGGAAGGGCTGCCGCTTGGCATTTTTTGGACTGTGATATAGCTGATAAATGAACTGTGGCTGTCTCAAATTATTCATCATACTGCTTAATTCAATGTGCCTTCCAATTTTCCATGAAGTTGAAAAATTTTTGGGGGGGTCGATCTACATGTCCAATTCTGCTCTCAAAGGTGTCTAGTAAATTCCTGCAGGTAAGCAAAAGAAGCTATGAAATCACCACAATGATCGACTCCTTACAATAGGAAAATTCAGAATGTCAAAATATTACTACTTTAAGATATAGGATTGTGTTAGGGGATTTTCTGGATATTCATTTAATTTTAGGATGTTTTTAAAGAAACTAATTTTATATGACAAGGAATCAAGATAGGCTTCTGGAGAAAGAGATGTATGATTCAGCGATGGATGAGTAGTATTGTTGGGTGTTCATGATTATGACTATGTAGACTGAGTGCTTTGTAGTGCAGCATCAGAAAAAAAATCTGAGAGGGAGAAAATGAACCTGTCTAATAGTATTAGCCCCTGTTGCCTGCAATGGGATGGGGTTCCTAAGGGTGTGTACTTAGAACCCACCGAGAGCCCTCTCTGCTGCTCCAAAGTTTATTAATTGTATTTTTTGTTTTTTATTTGGTACCAGGGATTGAACTCGGGTCCTTGCTCTTATTAATTGTATTTTTGTTCAGGGCATTGTATTCCTTAGGATATATGGTATATGAATCAAAGATGATCTGTACCCGCCTACCAAGGTCTGTTATGCACATGCACATGCAGTATGCAAATTATGAAGACACTTGCCAATTTCCAAATAGGCCTGCACCTTTGCATGAAAGGCTGTGAGTCAGCATCTTGCTTTCCTGTAGGTCAGCTAAAAAGTGAACTTTCTTGCTGATGCAATTCTAATCAGAAGAGAAAAACAATTCAAAGAAATCTTGGTTCAGCTATAGTCAGCTATAAGTTGTGCAAACCTAAATAACCAAAGACTAAAAAAAGAAGCAGCATGAGGAAGTCAACATTAATGTGACTCTATTAATAACACAAACTGGAATGAGAGCTCACAGCTGGAGCAAAGTAAATAAATAAGAGCAGAGGTCAACTGCCTATAGAGAAAATGCGTATTAAATTAATTTTGTGAATTTTTTTCTTAAATTGACTCAAGGACTTTGGGATGGAAATTATGCTACCAAAATTTTAAGGCAGTTCTAGAGGAAAGTCCATGAGGCTTCTGGGCTCATAATTGTCAATGATTAAAACTATAAAACAACTTGAACTCTTGAATTTTTGCTGGTTAAAAGAAAATTAAATTATTCATTTTTCCACTGCCTTACCTTACAAATGATTTAAACTCATTTACCAAAAATAAATACAATGATAATTTTAAAATGCAAAGAAGAGAATAAAGAAAATGGAAATACAGACTGCAGGTAGCAAAGACACAAAGGAAAATGGATGCTAAGTGAGTAAACAAAGACCACAGAGATGCTGATGAACAATAACGCAGTCTGAGTTTGTCCTTAAAGGAAACTTAGGTAATTAGTTCTGTTCTAATACTGAGGCTCTGTATGAGTTTACAGTGGTTCAGAAAAATAGCTCATTGCTTTAAAACTTCAAATTGTCACTTTCAGATAATACTTTTATGACTAGTTTTGATATGCATTGCTATTAACGTACCATAAAATTATGAACCTTATGAGGTTAGAGACCAAATTATAAATGTGATATGTTTTCTAATTATTTAATTTATTTAATGCATCCAGTTTGCTATTTCCTGCACTTAAAGCTAGTCTTAACTTTAAATAAATCAAGTAATAGTCATACCATTATACAGACTTAATGCTATGCATCTATCTCTGATATTCATTATGTTATTTTTGAAGCAGAAATTTACATTTCCTTTGTTGCCTCACGATGGCACACTTGTATCATATTTTCCCTTGAAAGATTTGGAAAGTGCCTGAAAATCATAGCAAAGAAAGAGCGCTTTCTTTCTTTTTGATTAACTTAGTCATAAAAAATAGATTAGAAATATTATGTAGACTACCCTTTCTGTGGATATGTTCTGAGTTCATGTCAATGTATGTAGTTAATCTCTGTGGGTTTGGATTTGATACAAGAACATCAGAGTGGGGATTGCTGAGTGGAAATCTCTTCAGCAGTGCTGTCTTTTCTTGAGTTGCTAATGGTAAAGACACCAGCCGCCCATTTATAAACTATGTTCCAAGTCATAGGTAATTTTTAAAACTTTCGTTCTCATTGTAATCTTCAATTTCAATTAATGTTATGCAAAATGAGAAAAGTGATGAATGATAGAATGATCAGCAACAGTAGCTGCAGCCCTTAACTACTTGTACTCAAAATCAATTTAAAAACTATTACAAACCTTACCAAGACAGCGTTTAATTCATGTTTTCTGCCTAATTTTTCAAAAACAAATTATAAAGTTTTCCAAATGGCTCTTCACATTGCTTGCTCATGTATATATACACTTGTGTGGTAATCTACTTAGATAAGTTACATATGAAAATTAATTATTCACGTAGGCACCAATTTTTGATAAACTTTCCTAATGGAACCTGATTATAAAATGAAAATAAGAAGAAAGAAAACATTTAATCTATAAGAGTCATAGTTTATGTTATTTAAATTTCAAAGAATAGCATTCCCAAAAGTGCCAAAATATATAAATAAAACAGATTCATTTTTATCATTGGGACAGTAATAGTTGTTTGCATTATTCACTAACTACAAAAAGAAAATCAAAGCAAAAATAAAAACTGAGTGATATTCACTGATGTAAGTATGATTAAAATAGCAAAAATATTGATATGGTGGTGAAAACACCTGACAAAAGCATTGGTAATGAGTGATAATGTGCAAGTGAGGATTCAAGTCCAGACGAGTTTAGAGTAATTCATTACAGAGGATAAACAAAAATTAACGACAGACTTTACTGTTTAAAGCATCCTCCACATAAACATCAAATGGAATTTAGCAAAATTAATATGTTTAATATCATGTAACAAAGTTTAGGAAAATCTTAATACAATTATTTTTAGACCTCTGTATTAAATGATACTCACGGCTATTATAATAGCTCATTGTTTCAGGTGTGTGTGTGTGTGTGTGTGTGTGTGTGTGTGTGTAGAGGGAGCTAGAAGAAGAAGAAGAAGAGGGATCAGAGACCAGGTGGGTGACCTTACCACAAATTTTATTGTCTTCATCAGACCCATCTGGACAGTTTATTTCTCCATCACAAAATAAATCAGTTGATACACACTTCAGAGCATCAGCACAAAGCTTTGAACCAGGTTGGCACATTATTGAAGCATTTCCTTAAAAACAAAATTTAAATTATAAGCTTCTTGCACAGTGGACTTAGTTTCCAGTTGAGATAGGCACAAGGTTTTAACATTTTTAATTTTAAAAAATTATTTAAGGCCTTATTCACAAGTATGTACTTCAATTTCTAGTAGAATTATTTATTTCCTTTGATGAATCAATTATTTTTAAAATGTAAGATTTAAGTTAAAAATTATTCAGAGATTTTAAATATGAATGTTTCCTCAGAAACATTCAGAAAATTAATACTGTGTTTCAGACCATTTAATCCCTTAGCCCCCAAATCCTGGGGTTACAGGTATGTGCCACTACGCCTTGCTTTGACTCTGCAATTCTTAAGAGATAGAATACAAAGATATTCCTGCTAGGTTCTCAGCCACACACAGCTGAGATCCATCAATTTAGGAATCTCAGTGTTTCTGATCCTTCACCGGCCCAGATGCACAAGAAACACAATGTATTTCTAGAATTGGAAAATTTAAGGACAATGCTAAAAATAATATTTGTATGCCCATAGGATAGGACATATGTTTTTATTTTTCCAAGATATGTTGGAATTTGAATATTTCTGTAGCTGGAATAACAATGACAGTTTAGAGCTTTTGAAATCTTTAACTCAATGACATTTGTTTTCATTATTGTTCTTAATCTTAAAGCCAGCACTGTACTGCCATCTGCTGGGTTTTTAAAGTATCAAAATATAAAATTCTGAAATGTCTTTTGCACCATAAAGTTGTCTGGGGAACCAAAAATATTTGTATCAAGGAATATACTAAGATAATAATTGATTAAGAATATGCATAGGTATCGTTGCTGAATATATATGCAACTAAATCAGACTTCTGTAGTTGTTTGTAATTAAAATGGATATAAACCACTGGAAATTCATGGATCATCTAGCATCTCAAAGGTCAGAATACTCCCATATAAAGTATAATTATAAAAGTGTGATTTAATAAACCCAAACACACATTACAATTGTTGATATTTAAAAGCTATTTATCAAGAGTATTTTATCACTGAGTTCCAGTCCAGAAAATGTACAAAAAGCATAATGTCTGACAGTATTTCATAAATGCTCTCTAATGAAATGAAGAAAAGCACTCTATTTGAAACTATCTTATTTTTACAGTAGTTAATAGAAAGCTATGTTGAATACTTGTGAGGCAAGACTTAAAAAAGAAGGAAAAACAAGTTTCCTCAACCTAAGAAATCCCTGCTTAGATTTTCTCCTCCCTGAGGCTGTTATTTGTTCTATTACAAATAAAATTACTAACTTTGTCCCTGTAATTAAGATTTCACAACTGAGTTGGGAATTTAGCTCAGTGGTTATACCACCTGCCTCGCAAGTGCAAGGACTTAAATTCAAGCCCCAGTACCCGCCCCCCCGCCAAAAAAAGATTTCACAACCTCCTTCTGGTAAGATTCTATTTTTATTAGAAGGAGATCACCAAGAATTGCTGTTACAAAACTGTTTCAGGTGGTTGATTGCCTTTGTTCTGCATCTGTCCACAAGTTCTGTGTCATTAAGTAGACCAACCCTGGACTGCAGCTTGTATAAAATTAGAGCCCTTCCTTTGTGCTGGACTCAGTCTTTGGACACATGTCTGCTGAGCTGGGGTACACTTAAATACATCCTCCTGTTCCACTCATTGGTCTCTGTTTAATCCTGCAACACTTAAAAGATTAGATTTGGGGACACAGCTGGTAAGAGATAAGATTATGGTTGTCCTGATAACTGGGAACTTCACTTGGTGATGCTTTACATCTCTGTTGTCTACTGAACACTAGATTGAACTTTGAAGCTCATTAACAAGGGAGACTTTTTGGTATCCTTTAATCTCCCTAATGATAATTATTTATATACTCCATAAGTGTTTGCTGTCTACTTATTTTTGGCATGGAATTGTAAGGAATAGAAATAAAATAATCAATAAGGTAATGTCTCTATTCTCATAGATATTAGAGTTTAGTGAGGAAGCAATTCATTCACTATTAAAAAAAAGAGAAAATATAAAAATCTTCTTTGTAAGCACCAAGAATTAGACATTCTCTCTGAGGGAGAGGTCCAAAATATCTTCACAGAAGTGGTCAAAAATAACCAAATTTGAAGGATGGCCAAAAGCACACCAGGAAGATATGTACATTGAATGTATGTGAGGATGTCTTAGTCACATTCCTTGCTGCTGGGATAAAATACTCAACACCCATAACTGAAAGACAGAGAAGTTTATTTTGGCTTACTTGTTCAGAAATTTCAGTCTTTGCATGGTTGGTGGCGTGGTAGCAGGGCCTGATCAAGGGAAGTTCCTACCATCATTGAAACCAGGAAGTGGAGAGTGAAGGGAAGAGCTGAGGAGGAAGATGAACCCTTCCAGGTCATTTCCCTAGTGACCCACCTCTTCAAATCAGTCCTCACAGAAAATCAGTGATAATACCCCATAATCTAATCACCTCTCAGTGCCTGAGTCCTTGGGAGGACATCTAAATATAAATCATAACAGAAGGTGTGATAGGAGCAAATCAATACATAGATATTGAAAAGTATAATCTTTATAGTTAGCAGAGTGGTTCTGGAAGCCACGGTAAAAAGAAAATGTGGTATCAAGATTTGAGGAGCACCAAAAAACAAAACAAAACAAAACAAAACAAAACAAAACAAAAAAACAAATCGAGAGAAAAAGACAGTAGCACCCAAGCATACCCTTGCATGGAGAAAAGCATTTCTAATACTTAGCAGAGATATATGCAAGGATTCCAAAAGTTTTCATGTATCTATGTGATATTACCTGCTCAAGTTTCATAAAGGCAAATCTGAGTTCATGTGGAAAATGATGTGAAAAGAGAAGACCAACTGTGAAGCTATTTCCATTGTTCAGGTAGATATGAGGCGGGTTGGAATTCTCTCATCAGCAGAGGAGATGGGGCATGAAACCAACTGCCATTTTACAGAAGTAACGAACTTCCGTGACCAAATGTGCTCCTGACCAAGCTCAATCGAGGTAGAAACAGATGTACTAAGGTGTGAGAAGTTGAATTACTAATGATCATTAGTCACAATTGTGATTTTAAAGAAGAGACAATAAGATTAGAAAATGAGTCTAGTGTGAAGTAGTTTGAGTAAAAGATGGAACCATTAGGTACACTTGCTTGGATATTACCGTCTTTTTCTCTCCAGTTGTTTTATAAACACTCTTTGTCTGATTTATTTCATGAAGGAAGAAGTTTCTCATTTACACATTAAAATGGAACATAAATATACTTAATTCCTTATAATACAATCTTCCTGGTTTCAAAATCACTTATCCCATCATTCTTGTTAATATCTGAAACAGTTCTGGAAGTCTTGTTTCTTCGGTGTCTTTAGTTACCCTATCTAGGCTGACTCTACATCATGAATTAATTCAAACACTGATCTTTTATGAATATTTTGATTTGGGGAACAGCCAGAAGTCTTATGATGCCAAATATGGATGGAAACTGTAATGTTTTTATGCACTTGTCTTTCCCTTGATTGCATTTTAGACAGCATTCACCATATTTTAAAATTAATTTTATTGGTACATGTAAGGTATACAATATAATGCCATTCATCATTGCAAATTTGCACCTTTACATAATCCATCTGGGTTCTTATTTTTCCCCATACCCCTACCCTCCCTTAAACTCCTTCATCCCTCTATCCCTCCCTATCTACAAAGACTTTGTTTCCATTTTTCTTTTTCTCATATTAATTCCATTCCATTCTTTCTTTCCCTTCTACTTCCCCTTTGCACCTTTTCTTCTTATTTCACATTATCTATTATAGCTTTTAGTCCTTATTTACACTTTCAGTTTCTCACACTAGAGAAACTATTCAGTATTTATAAGTATGTGTGCTGTTTATTTCACTTAAGAGTATAGCCTCAATGTGCATTCATTTAGCTATAAATGTCTCTAGTTTCTCATTCTTTATGGCTGAGTAGCACTCCAATTTATTAAAAAAAGCAAATTTTCTTTATCCAGTCTCACATTGATGGGCAATTGGGCTGCTTCCAAATTTTAACTGTCACAAATTTTGCTGGTATGAACATGGGTACACATATATCACTGTACACCATATTTTTTTAATCACACCTAGTAAAGACACTTATGAAAAAGGACTTTCAGAACTACTTCACAAAATGCATAAACAATGGGAGAAGTGTGCACAGGGAGTATTTTGAGGGGGATTAAAACAAACCTGTTTTTTTACTACAATGATTATTTTTTTACTACAATGATTATTTTTTACTACAATGTTCATTTTAATTCAAATTCTCATCATATAGTTTGATCAAATCTTTTGGTTTAAATATGTATGTATATATATTAATATATTATATATATTATATATATGTAATGATTACAATTTCTAACAAACTATTGAGTAATATACTGAGACAGAGATTTGTCACAAATCATTTTTTCAAATTACCTAACACTGTTAACATGAGAATTCTTTGATCTGTGCACTACTCTGTCTGCATTTCAGTTTTTCATTTTCCTCTACCATTTTTCACTAAGAAGTTAATAACAAACCATACTCCTTAAAAATTTAGAAGGTGTTAATCAACTCTAGTTAAAGAAATGCAAATGCAGACAATGAAAATAGGTTTGGTTTATTAGAAGCTGATCAAATTATCTACATAGTATTTAATGTTAATTTGAGTGGGAAAAAGTTTTTCAATTGCCCATAACTACAAGATTATTTTATCTACATGGTATTCTTTATGGATACCGATTTTTTAGCTATTATGAAAACATACGTGTAAGTTAGTATTAATTGGCGATTTTAAATAGAAACTTTTAAATATACATTAATATTTTTAGTAGGAAGGAGTCAGCATGTAATAAAATGTCCTAATTAAGAGTGATTCAATGTCCAATCAATTACTATTGATAAGGGATGAAGAAGAACCTCTATTTGGACTTTGTGTAGGCCTTGTGGTGAGCAGTAAGGAGGCATAAAGACTGCAATCCTTATTTTATATTTCAAATCACAAGCAATTTTATACACAAGGTAACAAAATAAAGCCATAGTTTTAAAATCTTAGTTTGGAAATAATACTTTGGAAATCTTAGATTTTTATTTTCTTTTTCATTTAAATGGGATAATAGTGACTTTGGTTATCAAAGCTCTCTGAGACAAATTAAGCCCAATATCCACTTGGTCGTGGTGTAGAATCTGAATCCAAGAATGTCTGCTTTAGAGATCTATTTTATTTCATTAGAGTATACTGAAGCAAAATACCACTTTCCAGAAATTTTCATTTACTTTGATAGAAGAAAGATTATGGTTTCTTTCAGTAAGATTATGGCTTTTCAATCCAAATGAAATTACAGTGAATGGATACTTTAATAGTTCTGGTATCAGGTGAGTAGAACTGTTTTAAATTAGAGGGGAGTGTTTAGCACTATATAAATGCTGCTTTCTCAAAGGCAGAGAAAGACAAATATTTTAAGTTTCATTTGTTATTGGATAAAGTTTCTGTACCCTAGCACAGGAGTAATTAAATTGAGGGACATTATTCTTCCTTCACATCTTTGGCTCAATTTCATGTTCCTCCCCAAATCAGCAAATTACTCTTTTCCTGCAGTCCCCAAACTCTTCCACATAGTGGAATTGTAGCAGAATTGTGTTTTGCATGAGGCTGAAAAAGCCCATGATAGAAAAGTTTTGTTTTTCTGTAATCATTGCTTGTACAGTCAGGGACAAGGACTAGAACAAGCTTTAGTCTAGGAAATTTTCAAGCACATTAGCAACTGCCCCAATAGCCCCTCCAGACACTCTTTAGCAACCAAGCAATCAGTCTGTGTAATGCAACCTTAGTGCCTGTCTCTGTCCTCCGGTGTTCCAAATGGGTTAGTAAAACTTTACAGTAATTGGCAACACAGGCAGTTGAACATTAGAATATACTCCTCATGGACTTTGTACTGGTTAACATACAGAAATTCTCTTTTGCAGAATTTATAATAGTACTAATGCCAGGTATATGATGCATGCATTTGTTGATTTTTCTCAAACTCTATCTTCTAGGCATATAAAAATGAGAATAAACTTAACATTCCTGAAAGGCATATTCATAATAAATTACTGCTCAGAAACAGCAGTTTTCAAGTTTAATTGCCTTGTTCCCCTCTATAAATCTATAGTATCTTGCCATACGAGAGGAATAAATGAGAACTGCGATTCAGGATTCCTGTAGCGCATGGGGTAAAATGGGAATATAGTATTTTGCCACCTACTTACCTTAAGATAATTCTTTGGGAATTTATTAAGGCAATTTAATACAACTTCCAATATGAGGAAATATTTTAAAACGAAGGATTTTTTGTTAAATAACAGACCAGATTTATATGAATATTAGTAAGTATAATACTGTTATTTTAAACTTTTTGAAGAATCTTTTTAAAAAATATTTGACCATACCAGGGATTTAGCTCAGTGGTTCTGCCACCTGCCTTGCAAGCACAAGGGCCTGAGTTCGATCCACGGTACCCTCCCCCCCAAAATCTGATCATTGCAATTGTTATCATTATTATTATTGTCTGAGTCAGAAGTGGAAGAAGAGAAGGGATCTAATATTGTTTGTGTCCCTCACTGACCAGAATAGAGTCGTGTATTGGTTTGCTCTCCTACCACATGGACACAGTACCAGTGACCAACAGTTTAAAGGAGGAGGGACTTATTTGGCTCAAGGTTTCGGAGGATTCAGTCCATAGTTGGCTGACTTCAAAATAGAGACATCATAGCAGAAGAGTTGGAATAGAGCGAGACTTCTCACTTTTTGGTGGCTGGGAAGCGGAGCAGGAGAACAATTCCACAGAGGAAGAGACAAGGACTAGCTATAGTCCCCAAGGTCACACATGCCTGACTCACTCAGACACACTCAGAAGTGTGCTTTACTAATTCCTCTGAGGGTTCCCATGCCAATCAGATCGAAAACTAAGCTCCCGCTCCACTGTGTCAAGTAGTATGTGTATTATTTCTCTTTTCTCAGTCAGCCTTCAAAGCACCTTTGTCTTTATTGTGCAGCTAATATAATCAAAATTCGAAGAGACTAGATAGTTTGTGAAACACTGACCAAGTAATAGGTAGAATTCAATAATGGGCGGATTCACTCATGTATTTTCAATGATTGATAATTTAATATTTATTTTGATCTTTATTTTGATGAATATCAGCTGTTCAACAAAATGGGAAAGGCAAGGATATGTGTGTACCGATGCTGTTGTCTCAATGTGGGAAAGGTGGGCAGAATGCTTTCTTGGCTCTCTGTGCCCTTATTCATCATCTCTTTCTTTATCCAGAGGATACTGGACATATGATGCAAACAATTCTCTACAGCTTTGACCGGTTTGTTTTCAGCATAGCAAGTGTGAAAGATTTCACTCCAAGGCTTTGTTGGTTTATTTAGCACTGATTCTTTTTCCTCTAACTCATTCCATATATTTCTCTTATGACATTTTCTACAGCTAACACTACCTCAATAACTGTGAGTTTGATGAATGACTCAATGAATTCATTTTAAAAGACAACTAGACAACAGGGAATTATTTAGATATATATTGTTTTTCAAAGTTTTAGGGAAATAATTTCTTAAAATTATTTAAATTTAAATTTAATAATACATTTAAATTTACTTTTCAGTTTGATTTTAAAGAAATTAGTCATTATAGGTCTTAATTTTTTTAAATGTGTTAAAATATAGTTTTAGAAGCTGTACATATATTTTTGACATTGGAGACAGGAATATAGGCTCAATGACAGCTTTTCATCATATTGTGCTGCTAATGGATATATATAATCGCAAATGTAGAGAGTATTAACTTCAGTATAGATCTTCATGAGTTATAGGATCACAATGGCTTATTTCTTAAAGCATTTGATTAATGATTCATGTATTTCTTTGCATTTCAAGCATTCCACCAAATTTTAATTGTGTAAATATGTGACATATTCTTTGTCCATTCATCTGTTATTTGGCATCTAGGCTGATTATATAGTTTGGCTATTATGAATTGTGCTGCTGTAAACATGGGTGTCCACATATCTTTATAGCATGATGCCTTTAACTCATTAGTGAAAAATCCAGTTTTCATGGTAATTGTACTGTACACATCCACACAAGCAATGTACAAGAGTTTTCCCCCCACATCCTCACCAGAGTTTTTGGTAAAGGTCATTCTTAGCAGTGTAAGATGAAATCTCAGAGCTGTTTTAATGTGTTTCTCTAAGGGCTAAAGATGATGACAACTTTTTTATAACTTATTGGCCACTTGTGCTTATTTTAAGGAGTGTTTATTTATTGCATTAACATGTTCACATTGGATCATTTTATTTTGGGAGCTAATGCTTTTGAGTTCGTTATTTACTCTGTATAATGGTCCTCTATCAGAGAATAACTGTCAAATATATATTTTTTTCCAGTTCTGAAGGTTGTGTCGTCATTCTGTTGATTGTTCCCCTTATAATGCAGATGCTTCTGATTTCATGTAATTTCACTTATTCATTCTTGGTGTAATTTCTTGTGCTACTAGAGTTCTGTTCAGAAATTCTTGTCTGTGCGTATGTCTTCAAGTGTTTTCCCTATTTTATTTTCCAGCAGTTTCATTATTTCTATTTTATATTTAGATCTTTGAATCATTTTGGTTTGGTTTTATAAGGTGAGAGATAGGAGTCTAATTGGATTCTTCTGTCTATGAATAATCAATTTTTTAGAACTATTTGTTATTCTAAAGTACATTTTTGGAAGAGGTATTTGATCTTTTAGATCTTCTGTTTTGCCCCTTTCATATTATTACTATTCACTATACAACTGTGATACATTTGCTAAATTTTCAGCATCTGTACATTCTGCTCCTCCTACAGTTTACTTAAGTCAATATTTTTGTTTTATTTGTATTAATTCCAGAGAAGTTTCTATTCTTTCTGTGCTTCTATAAAAAGGTTTATATTTAAGTCAATTAATGTAGCATTACATGCCCGATCTTGGCCTCATAGAACAGGTAGTCTTGCTCCGAACACATGGAAGACCTGACTCACAAACTACTCCTCTCTGTAGTTGGTTCTTCTGAGAGATAAGCACTGTTTCATTATAAAGGACTTTTCACAGAAGTGATAAAAACTACCTCTTTTCTTCAGTATTTAACATGTCTGGTAGTTTTAAAAATAGGAGTGTCTCCAAACTATAAAGAAAATCAAGTCATGTCTCATGCAAACATTAATTTAGTGAATTTGACTTCATTAAAAATGTATTGATGATGTATAAATTAAACAGAATATTCTCATATATGACCAAGTTGTTCATTTCAGCATAGTTTAATTTTTGCATTATTTTTACAACATCATTGACAATTTTGTAAATGGTATATGACAGATTATTGATGAAGATGATATAACAAAGTAAGATTTATATAAATTTCCTCAAATAGTTATTTTAATTTATAATATGTTAAAGTATTCTAAATAAAATTCTATGTATATATATATCATATATATGGTATATATATGATATATATATGAAATTCTTAACTAATTGAAGATGTAGTAAATTTGAAATATCACATGATATAAACAAAAATCAAACATAAATATTAAAATTAAGGTTGGGGCCATGCTGCTAAATATGTTTTACTGCAGTTCATCAAATTAAATATATTATCTAACTTCAATTTGTTGAGAATATTCTTGAGCCTGTATTATAATAAAGTGTAAGGAATTTGTAATATTGATTCTAAGTTAACTCAAAGGATATAGTTTTCTTGAAGAAATGTGTGAGGTTTGAAACCAATAAACTCTTTTCTCCGAAATAGTTCAACTGCAGGGAGTCATATAAATAATAGCATTCCTGTCAATTTAATTGCCTTCAGAAATCAAAGCATAGTAAAATAAAGATAAAATGAAAAAGCTTTATAGAGGAACAATGACTACTGAAAAAAAGTCAATCAACACTTTCGATAAAATCATTATAAGTGATCTGTACTATAATGTTTAAGAGTACAGACACATGGATCAAACCACTTGGATCAGATTGCCTGGATCTAAATATAGATAGCATGGGATTTTAGATAATTCACCAAAGTTATTAGTGCTTTGATTTTCTACTTCATAAAATATTGGTAATGAAGGTATCACATAACAGGACTGATATGTGAGTAACTATCTTGATAGATAAACCACGTTTCAATTAATAATGACTGATAGTAGTTTGAAACATATTTGAATCTGACAAAGATCCAAAAAGAAGCCTTCTACTCCAGTGGCTCTGGAGAGGGAAGGAAAGCATCAGAGGAGGATGTAGTAAGAATACTAGTGACCTTCACTAAACAGGAGCTACCATAGGTAGCAGGAGGCTTAATAGAAAAGAAAACTGTGCTTGATGAAAGAACACTATAAAGAAAAGCAACCAGAGTTCTTAATTTTGTATATACTATTACAAAATTAAAAAAACAGACATCTGCATGTTTTCATGTTTTTGATTTAAAAGCAAACCTATATTGACTTACCTTACTCTAAACCAAAACTATTTGAATTAACATTAGGATATTCTGGGTTTGTTTCCATTCCATTTGGAATCCCTGTCTTAACATCAATATATATATAAATACTATTCTGGATATATTGATGTTATTCTGGATATGAGCTTCCTTTGGTTAGACAGTGTCTCACTACCTAGTTCAGGAAAGCCTTGAATGCACTATATAGTCCAAGATGGCCTCAAACTAACCGCGATCCTCCTGACTCAGCCTCTTGCCTCAGCTTCCAAGCCTCCTGCTAGGAAAACAAGTTTACACCCAGTGAGATTTTTTTTTTTTAATCCTCAAATGTTTAAATTCTAAATCATACTTGACTTCGAGGCTTTTAGACAGTGGATTATGGATCTAGATGAGACTGAAAAACTTCTATTGTTCTCAGCCAAGTAAAACATAAACGTAAATGTTAGCTGGAATGTGATTTGAATGGAAGATAACTAGAGTGGAAAATTTAAAGCAACCTAAACATTGACAGAGATATTGTCCTGTTGTTATTTTTGTTACCAAGACTCTTCTCCTATTTTTACTCTAAAAATAATTTATAATTTGGGGGCCTTTTTCCCCTTTTTTAGGAAGCAGGAATAAAACCTAGGGCCTTGTGCTCGCTGGGCAGGTGCTGCACTGATGAGGTACATCCCCAGCTGAAAAACTATTTATTATTTTGAAAACAAATTTTAATTTTTATAAATATAAAACTGTGATTGATCAAACTCTTTAACTCTTCATTTCCATTTTCTTAGCTGTTCACTGAGAACTTGACTACTATATCTTTGTAATCTAATAAGGTCTATGACTCGATCAGAAAGTCATGAGTGCACTTTCTGATGGAGGCTTCTTGAAAAGTCAGGTTCACTTGACCACGGCAAAGAATGTGACAAGACTCATAAACATTTGAGCATGCTGATATTTGCAGAACCTTTTTGATACTTGATATTTTACAAACTTTTTCTCACTGATATATTTTCTTCAAATATGGTTTCTCCATATTTCAATTTTTCTCATGTAAATGTGTTACCTCAGGCAATAAGAAATGCTCCTGAGGTCCAGGGTGATCCTACTGCTTCTCTGGTAAATTGCTAGAATCTTAATTTCATAGCTTAATGATTCAAAGAAATCAAATAATGTTCAGAGATACCTGTGATATCAACGCTGTTCAAATCAATATGGAAAGTCATCAGTTGGCTGGATTTATTTGCTTCAATGCCTTGAATCAGTTCTTCTTTCACATTTTCATCTGACACCCACTGAGCAAAGAAAAGGTCAAATAGGACTATAATACTGCCATTTCTGCAAAGCAAAAGATAATATGAGAGGAAAAAGTCAGCCTTCTTTAAGTGATTTGTGCTCAATTCATGGAAAATATCTTTGAAACGCTACAGCTCTCAGCTTGTTAATCTTCATTACACTAGTATAAGGTAGTGTAACCCCTGCACTGTAATATTCATTGGTCATTTTTGCAATTTAAAGACCTATAAAAATGAATAAAGTAGGGTATATCAAATATTATCTTTAATTTATGGGAAAAAAGATTTAAAACACTAAATGTTCATTCAAGAACACAAAGCACAATCATTCCAAAATTGGATTCTGCTATTTCTGAGTTCCACTGTAGAACACTGACCCACGGAGACACGTGTCAAATTAAACAAAATCTTATATGACAGACATTATTATGGTATTTATTCTGATTTAATTGCTTGAATGAATTAAAGGTGAGTATATGTGATTTCTCTGGTTGATTTTTAAGTAGAAAGAAATCCAAGGTAGTTTAACTTGCTCGAATTACATTTTTCAATACAGCTTAAGAAGGGTTGATATTGAGTATACAGCAGCTCTCTATATTATTTTTCCTTATCTGCTTATCATAAAATCCCGAAGTGTGCCATAATTTCAAGAGGGATGGAAAGAAAACAAACATATGTGAAATAACTAGACACTCAGGATTTTCCATCTTGTGGTCGAGATTTGGGATTGTCATTCCTACAACGATCCCCTACTATATCTTTATTCTCTCACATGGACAATCGTTTTACCTTTTATTCTAATCCCTACTATTTAATATAAAAATTTCTTACCAGTTAAAGACATATAAATAAAAAGTGCTTTTTTGAGCAGTAAGGATATTCAAGTGATTTTTGGCTTTGGTGTCTACATTTCTACTGCCTATTTTTATGAGGCAACCTCTCTCTAATTCTAATCTTCATCTGTATGACTAAGTAAGGTGGACATAGTCTGGGTATACTTGATTCCCTAATAGATACACCAAGGAGAAACTCATCCTAATAATATATTTGCTGGTTTCAAAGTTCAGGGGTTATGCTCTTATTCCCTTGTGATATCTCTAAGGTACAGTCACATGTTGGTTTATGAATACTTCTGTGTGCAACAATTCGCTTGGCAAATGCAAGCATTCAGCAAAATTTTGCTTCTGTTTGCAGACTCCACGTGGGGTGATGAGGACAACCATGGCCGTCTTCCCCACAGAAACACAAATGCAGCCATCTTCCCCCAAATCGTAAAACATTAAATTTGCAAACTGAGGAACCACTGTAATAAGCTTCTTAATGGAAGGACTTTGTCAACTTTAGTAACTATTCAAAGTTCCTGAACTTATACATACCTGAAATCGCCTGTTTTCCTTAGTTAAAAAAAAGGATTTTACACAGAGATATTTTTTGTTTAACTCCTTTTCTATGCCTGCTAATTTTCCAGGATGACTCATTTCTAATTTTATTGAAAAATGGTTCTCTGTTTCTTGAGGAAATCTGCCATCTTTCTCTATTTATCATGTCCACTATGATCTTATTCATAGGCAGATGATCAGACCCTGGCCAGTTAAATGTGAGAAGATTGATGGAAAACTTCTGGGAAACTTCTTAACATCTACCAAAAGAAAGGCTACTGAGGAGTACTACTTTCTTTTTCTTTTTAAAACGTACTTCTGTGTAGTTATAAAAGCCAGAATTGCTGCATCCAATGTATGAGCTGAGCTGTGGGTGACAGCTAACGATGATAGAATGGAAGAAAGGAAGCATCTGCATCTCTTCCTGACCGTGACTTTGTCATTGTAGCAGTAAATTAACCTCCACTAAAGCCTCCAGGTTCCTTGACATATTAGAAAGTAAATATCTATCTTTAAGGCGATTGTTCTTATATATTCTGTTAACTATAACTTTAAAATCTCAACTGTCAGTCATTTCTCAGGCTTCCTTCCACATTCATTGAAACAGAAGCTCCAGAAAAGAGAGATGACTATATGGTTGTACTTCATGTAGGCCGATATTTGAATTTTAGTGATAGGGACACTGAGGATCAAAGTAACAGAAGTAATTTTGCCCAGCTTATTAGTGTCATAAATATAAAGATGATTCATATGCCCCTGTTTCCCAAAAGTATTTTTATATAATTTCCACCTTCTCACCCACAACGTCACTTCTATGAACTCTATTGTAAACCTTTCATTAGTAAGAAAAACAATGTAGAATATTCCCTTAAAAACAAGTCCAGGTTCTTAGTAACTTGCAATTTTAAAAGAATTTTATATCCACATAGAAAACAGCTAGCTGGACTTTATTATTTTGGTAGGGAGGTGAAGGAAAGATATTCTATTCCCTGCATAAACCCAAGACATCTTCTCCTCCTCCTTTCTCACTTCCTCCTCCTGTTTCTCCTCTTTCTTGTTTAAACATTGTCTCTTACATCAATTCCATCTCTAAAAATGTTAGTGCTTAAATATGAACCAAAAAAGCTAGAATTAAATATGATTGGAATAAAATAAGACTACATTTTACCTATCATCTCTTCTGTCTTCAATCCAAAGGCTGCAGTTTATCTTTGACTCCACACTAAAGAATTTTAATTCTAATTAAATCTCTGTTTTCTCTTTATGTACTTTGTATCTGCTCAATTTGACTGAACATTTTTTAAATTTTATTTGAGTCAGTGAGTAAGGAATAGTATCTGGAGCACATAAAGTAAAAATACAGAATTTTCCTTCACTGAGTTGAAATAAATGAGACTAGTTCATCCTCAGGCATAAAACATCTCTGTTTGAAAAAATATGTTCTCTTAGTTTTGAATTATACATTGCATTTAATAATGTATATTTTTGCAAGCATAGTAATTACATATTCTCTATCCACATACAATTTATTCTTTAAATTTTATTTTCATAGTCATTGCAAATTTGAAGAGAAGAGAAATGTATAGTAGAAATCAAGAAAACTGTAATGAACATTTGCGTTCACAGAATAAGAAGGCTAAAGGTGCTGCTTTTAGTGCATTAACAATGATTTCTACCACTGTTGTGATATTGATTTTATTAAAGAAAAGGAGAATTAATTCTTTAGGGGAAATGGCCCCTTCATTTCCTAGTACTTGTCCTAGTAGAATAGCTGAGTCCTTTTTTAAGGCAGATAAATCCTATCTGTGTACAGAGAACTGGAGAGTAATAGATCAAAATGGTTCTTATCTCATATTTTCCTTAATGGCATCGATAACCTTTAGGTTTTCTGAATAAACAAAAGTCTTTTCTTTCCTAACTTTGTGACTAATTTGTGCTCAAAGGGCAAACTAAAGTACACATTGCTGAAAAAGGTAACCAGTACTTTATTAAAAGAAATAACTGCTAAATGCTCTCTGAATCAAAGCATTTCCATAAAGCAGAATAACAGGAAGTATCCCCAAAGCAGAGTAAACTACTTGTTTGTCTTGCAGAGTGGCTACACACACATACACACTCACACACACACACACACACTCACAATACACATTAGCAGGTTCCAAGGATTGATATGAAGTATTCGTAAAAGTAAGAGAAAAAACATCGATGACTAAGTTCAGTATTTATTCTAGGGCCTTCATGAGCATCCCTTCTTTTATTTAGATTCTATTTTGAGACAGTTTTTTTTTCCTAAATCACTAAATTACCCTGGTTGGTCTCAAACTTGTGATCTTCCTGCCTCAGTTTCCCAAATTTTGGGGATTACAAGCCTGCACCACCATACCAAGTTTATATATTATATGTGTTACAATTGGCATGGATACTATTATATTGTTACTTATGTGAGAATTCAGCTATTTTTATTCCCCGATTTTATAAATTTTATTTTATAATGAAAATAATGAAGTACTTATAAATATGTCATATTTCCCTATGAGTAGATTATGTCTATTTACATGTGATTATTTAAGGTGATTTTAAATGTTTCCTTGTTATTCTTTTCAGCTTCTGATATTTTTCTATCTTTTTCTTGTTCTCCCAAAGTACCAACTTGTAATTTATCATACAGACATTTTCATGAGATTCCCCTACATTGCATTTTTCAAAAACTCACTGCTAATTTAAAAGGAGTTCAGCTACCAACAGGGAAAATTTCTATACACTGATGAATTATATTATTTGAGAATCATTCTAAAATATTAATCAAGGCTTGGGCACTATACTGGCCTCCCAGGTAGCTATAAAGTGGAAGAAAGGAGCAATTCCTCATCTCCAATAATTTACATTTTCAAATATAGTGTTTCTACCCTTTAGGCAAATAAAAGATTACTTACAAAATGTCAAAGAAAACACTGGGGTTTTGATAGCCCACCAGGCCTATATACTGACAGAAGAATAAGTCTGAGATATCCTAAATTTAATTAAAGGGCCACAGAGTGGAGGATGAAGATAAGGGAAGTTAATCACTTAGTAGCTACAGGCTGAAACTAAGAAAATATTGCTCCACACTACTAAATGTGTGCTAGATTCTTGGCTTATTACCACAGTGGCCAGCAGATTCCCCCACCATGTGGCCTCCAATTTACGAATAAAACTACACTGCTAACTCCAACCTGACCAGTAGTAATAAACACTTCTCACAGCCTCCCTCTGATCCCCACACATTCCTAGCGACATGCTATCCTTTCCCTCCTTTTTATACCCAATGTAAGTTCACAATGCAATAAAAGTAATTTATGATTTCCCTCAAATTTTCATTATAAACTCTTTTTTTGAGGGGGTGCTGGGATTGAACTCGGGCCCTTGTGTTTGCAAGGCAGGTGGCAGAACCACTGTGCCAAATCCCTGGCCCCCTTTTTTTAAACTCTTTTTTTTAATTGTTAAATTTTCATTATAAAAGAGTGCTCAGTTCTGAGGTCCCATGTTCATATTTACACATTATTTCTACTCCTGATGCTGGTATATGAAGAATTTATCAAGGACCTGGTCCTTTTCTGGCCAGAATTTGAACACAAGAACTCTTTTATTTCAGAGAACCTTCAGTCTTTAAGAGTTTTGGTTTAACAATGTAAAAATATACTAAGTGAATTTTCCCATTCTGATTAAAAAAGTGAAGTCATCCAATATCTTGTATACATATGAGCAATGAAGACCCCATTAGCAAAGTTATCAGAAAAACTCTACAACAGCAAAGGTTATCTTGCTTGATATGGATTTTACTGGACAGAGGTCAGTTAAAGAGTAGAAGGTATCGGGAATTTCTCTTCCTAATAGATGTTAAAACCTTCGCTCATTCCAAAGTAGACAAATGGCTGAAAATGATCTCCAATGATGAATGTCATTATATTGTATACTAAAATGTACCAATAAAATTAATTTTAAAAATGAACAAAAAGAGAGACGGAAAAAGTAAAAGAAAGTATTGCATGCATGTGTTTTATGGTTATCACGGCTTCAAATGTCCCCATTTTTAGTTTTAATATTAGGTCAGTGAAAGAAACTGTTAGTGATGATGTGCTCTGCAAACAAGTAAACGTGTGTAAGCTTAGTCAGGAATTAAGGTAGCAGATTGCGAAGCATCAGATGCGAAGATTATTATGTTGGAATACGCAGAAGGATGAAAAATATACTGCAGATGGATAAATGGAGAAGAGGGAAATAGGAGAGAAGGGAAAAGAGGCGATGAGAAGAGAGGAAGAAAGAAGGGGAGAGGAGGAAAAGGGAGGGGAGGACAGAAAAGGATTAAACTGATGTTGTCATTGTGCCTTCGGTTGAGACTGCTGGCGTGATTACAACAAGAAATGGTGAGATTCTGATGTTCTGTCTGCCTACTACGTGATCTTCAATTGACCGTCCATTATTATTTTCCTAAGGCAGATCCCTTTACCTCTGATTTGATCATCACCCTACCAGTGTTTGGTCACTAAGATCTGAGGATTCTTTAACTAAAGTCAAAATTAATGCAATGATCAAATGCTAAAATACCTCTGTTCCTAGAAGTTGTGATTCAGTGATACCTGATTTAAGAAATTAGCCTTTCTACCAAGTTAGGCTCAGTCTATTTCTGTGAAAACGTATCATTCTCACATAATTCTCATTTGGTGCTAGATACTTGGTAGGCCCCTAGGCTTGTGTTCAACAGTCACATGAAGGCCAAATGTCTTTTTAGTAGACTTCCTCGTCAAAGCACATCCTCGCCATGCTATGTTCATTGATGCGTTCTTCAGTTTGCTTTTATGGGGAAACAGCTTCCTTTTCCTTTTTTATTTATGTAGTCTCCGCCTATGCTTCTTAGACTATTTCTTGTATTTTTAAGCAGGACTTTCCATGACCACTATTATAAAATGAAGTGCTCCTTAATCAATTAACACACCTTCACTTTCTGATTAGTGCTTTGGAATTATTAAATTAAAGCTATTCTAACAGAATGATAAAGCCATGAAAATTGTACATCTATTTTTATATCAGTAGGATAAAGGTTAAATAAAACATGAATAGCTAATATAATAGTCACTTTATTAGTAACAGATATGTCTTAGTCACTCTCCCCATCTCAGAGACATAACACACAACACTTTCAACTTAAAGGAGAGGTTTCTTTTGGCTCATGCATTTTTAGATGATTTATATCATAGTTGGTTGGCTCTGAGGCAGAAAGGGAATGGGCAAGTGCCTAGGCAGAAGAGATCCATCGGCCCATGTGAATAATTAGGAAGCAGCAACAGAGAGGGGAAGACCTGGGGAGTGAGATACGCATTTCCAGGTAATGACCCTAGGGACTCGTCTCTTTTTGCAAGGCCTGGTCTCTTACCAATACATTTAGCTATAGCACCTTCATAATTCAATCACCCATCAAAAGTCCCACCCACGAGCATATGATGGTCTGGTGGGTCATTTATATGTAAATCATAACAGATTTTAATATTTTAATGAGTTTTTAGGACATTATAGGCCAAATACTCCAAATCAAGCATTAGATTGGGAAAATACAGGTTCAGAAATACATTCCCTGCTCTGAGTGAGCTTGTAGTGTACAGGGAGATGGGAAGATAGATAATAACATTGCCACTTAGATAATTCCAGCCTAAGGGGGACACTTACATGATTGTAATGGGTGTTAACAGTGGATAGCAAAACCTAACATAGAGTAGAGTGGCAGTTAAACATCTCTGGAGAGGTGACAGGGACTGAATTTCAGTGGAGTGTAAGGATAGGCATAATATATAGGAAAGAGAGCAATGGGAGGTCAGTCAACGAAAACAGATTAAAGTAGGATATTTTAAAGTGTGCCTAGGTAGATGAGGTGATGTGGCTAGTATGGAAACTTGTAGAGAGAAAGGGGGGAGAAAGAGAAGGCCTAGTGAGTACTGAGATAGAACACTCTTCCATGCATAATGGTGGTCATAGTAACGTTCTTCAGATACTGAAAGATGGAGATAAGGAAATGATGATACATTATTATCCATAAATGTAAGAAAATAGTCAGACAATTTCTGAATATGTGACTCTCCCGGCTCCACTTTTCATTGCCTTGTTCTGTGTCCTGAGTAAATTTTTACAGTATATGAAAATTAGCTGTAGGGAAAAATGATGATCATTTTAGACAGCAGGATATTATTATTAGCTATTGGAAAAGTTTCCAGGTTTCTCTACCTCACAAATTCTCTTTTCATTAATTTATTTTTAAGCCTTTCTCCTTTCTCTTTTCCAGGTAATCATAGTTAGTCTCCCATATCTTCTACTGTGGTTGTTTTAAAATTGCACACCATTTTAACTTAATGCCATAGATCCTAACTAGAATTACAACTTTCTTAGTTAATATTCCTACCGATTTGTGTCTCTATTCAAATCCCATGATAGCCATGGTTCAGCAGACTCTTGATTCAGCAAGATGTCAGAATAGGAAAGCCTGGACTCTCCTTCCAAGGACAGGGCAGTTCTACAGTGACACAGGGCTCCATTCATTGGTGAGAACCAAAAAATTAGCTTTTAAGAGAGATTTCTTTCTAGAGCTCATAGATATAATAAATGTACACTCTATATAGAATACACACATATGTACTTGTATATATATCATACGCACAGACATACACTTACTCTAGATTCAAGCACCATCATGAAATTATATGTTATTCTCTTAATCTAAGAGTCATTCATTCATTGAACACTTTATTTGCTCTAAGTAGAGTCTTATGGCTTCTGGTTGCAATGGTGAATAAGTTCCCTCTCTCTTGTGATCTACAATGTAAATAAAGTTAGGTGACATCATAGTTTATTAATAATGAACAAGCCTCTTCCAAGTGTTCCTAGCAAATGAAACACTGAGTCTTCATGTGATTTTTCACATCCACCACCATCTCTCCATTCACCTGAATTTGGGCAACACCCTAAGGCCAATTCTCTTTTTATTTTTCTGAAAGAAGCAAAAAATGGCAGAGACTCAGGAAATCTCAACAGTTCCATGCTAGAAGGCATGCCTGTCAGATTCCATGGTCTGATCTTCACTAACCTTTTCCTACTCAAACTTTGCTAAAGGTTCCTAACATAGAAACCATATCTATGTATTTGATTAACACAGAGCTGAGAGTCATGTGTACTAAGTCCTGAGATGATGGCCAGACATTTCTATTAATCTAATCAGAGATATGATGAGTGCACCTGGAGTGGGGTGCACATCTTTTAATTCTGAAACCCAGATGTATCTTCTTTCTGCCTGTTCTCTTGTGATACTGGCACCACTTTTCTGTTCATGCTACCTTTTTGTTTCTGTTGGCATGGACCTGTCCTGAGCACATATTCTTGTTATTTTGGTAAGTGTGGCTTTTTTTTAAACCATTGGGTATACATTTGTAATTCTTTGCTCTGCACACAAGAACCTAAACTCTGTCTCTCACAAGCAATGCACAGTGTCATGAGAAGAGAGAAACATGTCAACATAAGATCAATTGTGAGAAGTTATCTGCTACTAAAATCAAAGTTTATGCTCTGGTACTTTTCTCAATCATCACAAAAACTTAAAAAATTTAAGTCTTTTTCTACACATTATGACACTATTATACATATGTATTACATATTTTTACATATCTTTATGAAAAATCACTAATTTGTAACTGTACTGTCATTAACAATTTTGTGCGTGTACTTACTCAAATTGTAAAACCTTGGAGGTTTTATATTCATTCTTCAAATTACTTGATTGAAAGATCTCATTTATCTAAAAAAGGATTAAAAAGTATATTAAACTTGAAAAAGTATATTAAGTTGAAGATTTTAACTTTTGTACAAAAATTTTACAAAATACAGATAATCTTTATGCTCTGCTTAAAATTGGGGAAATTTTCTTCATGATAATAAGGGATTCATTTAAGAACATTGAGCATATTACGTTTACTTACTAATATTTTTTATAATGAGAAAAATTTGATCTCTATATGTCTTGGCTGGAAGTTAGTGCAATTATGTTATAAAGTTTTAAACCATTTGAAGAGACACAGTTCCCTACCATTTGCTGAATGTTAAAAGCAAGAACTTTGAAATCCACTGAGAGTTTGTCTTGTAAATTAAGATTATATGTAGCTCCAGATATTATTTTCAATGTCCCTCTGGTTTCATGACTTGTTCCAACTGCTGCATCTAGATAAATTAATAAGATATAAACACTGGATTATAAGTAGGAGACATTATAAATATTCTGGCTTAAGATATAGAAGTATAAGTCTCACATGTGTAAATACCTAATAGTTTCTCTGGTGTGAAAAAACTATAGTTGTAAATAAGATCCTAATGGTATAATTGACAATATGTGACAGGAAGAAAAGGGCTAAATGTGCAGGGGAAGTGGGAAGGGTAGAGGAAAGGAAATAAGGGAAAAGAAAAAATCTGAGAAAATGAAAAAATGGAAATAAAGTTTTTGTAACTAGGGAAGGGAGGAGAGGGTAAAGGGAGGGCAGGGGTAAGGGGGAAAATGAGAACCAAGACTGTCATGTAAAGGTACAAGATCCTGATGATGAATGTAACTGTACTGTATACCCAAAATGTACCAATAAACTCAGTGAGAAATAAAAAGACATAGAAGTAAAGTTCTTGCTTGACACATTGGCTTTATTGCTCTTGATTTTTCTCTGAAACTTTTCTGTTTCAAAATCAGGTGCTTTTTTTCTTTTTGCCAATTATTTTAAAAGATTAAAAATCGTTCATTATTTCTTTTTCTTTGAAGTCTGTCATGCCTTATAAACTTTTGAGAATTTTTTAAAATTGAGATTCCCGTTGGAAGTCACAGGGACTAATCAACTTCCACCAATTAATGGGAAGGGGTTTAAGAAAATAGGGTTAAGATAGAGAGAATTAAAAGTTCTATAGTTGCTTTTCTGTATTTCTTGAACCCCCAGCATTCAGATACACTACTGATTTTCTACATGTGGGTTGCTGTGCAGATTTCGGTATGTGTGTTACTCTGAATCATATCTTTGAAGCTACTTCTTGCATTTTCTTAATTATAAAATTGGCATGTATAATCTTGGAACATTTGATCCTATCTTTATTGAAGTTATTAAGGATAGTGTAGAAAGTATATTATCTCATAGCCAAATGTAAGGAAGTGGTAAACAAACTGCATAATCCTGTTATTAGAATATTTTTCTTTTACAGATATTTATATGTAAAATACAGAGCTTGAGCTGAAAAACCTAATGATAATATCATTAATAAATATAATAACAGTGACACATAATTCTAAGAATGGCAAGATGTTACTTTTCTTTTCTATAATAAGGAAATTATAATGACTAAAACTTTTCCAAAGTAGTAAAGTTCTTAAGTGACAGAGCTGAAATTTAGACATATAAGTTCCAAATTCTGCTAGGCACTAAAATTTTCAGTCCAGAAAAACAATAGATATAATATCAAACAATAAACTTGGACTTAGGCTAAATAGCTATAATTGATATAACTGATTGTTATTTTCTCTTTCTTTTTCTTTCTTTCTCTCTCCTTCTTACTTCCTTCCTTTCCTCCTTTCTTTCTTCCTTCCTTTCTTTATTTTTCTTTCTTTCTTGAGAGGCAGGCAGAGGAATGACTGAGCCAAATCCCCAGCCCTACTTTACTTTTTAAACAGTCAAAACTTTTACATTTTCCTGTTTAAATGAGGATAACAAGGAAAGACTGAAGAACTGTCACAAAGTAGAGATGACAAGGGAACATGAAGACTAAATCCTATGTAAGAAACTTCATCAAATCCTAAACATTAGAACATCAGTGGAAAAATCTAGTAGAATCTGAATAATGAGCATGGTAGAGTTAATAATATTTTATCAATGTTAGTTTCTTGTGACAATTAATCTGGATATAGAACATATTAATATGAGAAAAGCTGGGTGAAAGTGATGTAATAGTTTACATTTTTTTCTTTATTGGTACACTTTAGGTGTGCAATACACTTATATTTATCTTTGGAATCTACCTTGGTTCTTATTTTTTCCCCATGCCCCTGCCCTCCCTTCACCCCCTCCAACCTCTCCTATTTACAAAGACTTTGTTTCCATTTTTTCCTTTTCTCTTACTTTTTCTTTCACAAGTTTTAAAGTTTAAAATAATTTCCAATAAAGTATAAAAGCACGTATTTCAAAATCGCTGCTGTCTATCTTATACCTTCTGGTGTACTACCAATATAGCACAAATGTCTTTTTACAATTAGGTGTTCACAATTAAGTGGTATTAACATTTATAAAATTTTTTTTCTTCTTTATTTATAAAAAACTATTGCATTTTGATTATCAGAGATTCTGATGTACTCCTTGATGGCTATGTGTGGTTACTTACACCATTTAAATAAAACCAAAGCGGCCACTTTTTCAAAAGTCTGTGTGAGAGTTCATATAACCATAAAAATTCACAAATACCCCTTTTCTGTAAAATACATGGCTGTAGCTTTACTGTTTAAATAAACCAGGAATCATACTGAAATTATTATATACAACCACAAACCATTTTACTACATTCTAATTCAAAAATTTATGTATCAGAAAAAAATAGACAACTCAAAATCCCACAATTTTCTTAGTAAACTAAGAGCACACACAGGTGAAAGGTTCTACCTTTGAGTTTTCAGAGTTTATTTGCCTGTATACAATCCATCATTAAAAATATGAACATTTTCTCAGAAAGAATAAACATTTAATACTCATGTTATCTCTATGCATCTAATTTACTTATCTCATAAAAAGTGATAGATAAAAGAACTACTTCCATTCTTGGATTATGTACTTTGGAACCTTACTTCTGTTACCCACTCATGATGTGAACTTAAGCAAATAGTAGTGAAATTCTTTGCCTCACATTCCTTATAACTATGAAATAATAATTACAGTTAATTTATGAGTTTTCTGTATTTAAAATGATACTCTTAAATATCTTTGAAAAGCTGATGATTCAGACTAATGTATTTCTGAATAATATTTAAAAAAACTTTTTTCTGTCACAAGTTGCTACTCAGAGAGATTGATATACTTATAAATCTACATTCACATTCAAATTTATTTATACTGTTGCAATTAATTTTTTTTTGCTTAATAAGAGAATTAGGATATTATACTATAGAAATAAATAGCAATTTTCAGTTAACTTTCCATATTTATTGATCTGTGTAATGAACAGTAATTTAATATTGATAATTTCAAGTCTATCAGAATGAACCCTCATCTACTGCATTAGATGCTGAATTAAGAAATGCCATTATTCACAAAAAAGAAGAAAAACAAGAAGGAAGAAGAAAAGGGGAAAAAATGAATTAGTCTCACTTGAATTCAATTGAGTTTCAAATTGCACAGCAACCAATTTTCCTAATAATCTGTTAAATAAAGATAAGCATCTGAATGAAGCAAAAATATGTTGTCATGAAACCCAACAAAGAATAAAATATACTGACCACATAACTGAGTTGAAAGTGCATTCTTACATCTAAAAACAACCTCATTATACAAGTCTGTGACGTACCTTTTCCGGCTTCCCCGATTACTAGCCAGGACAATGCAATTAACCCAGCAGAAAACACCATCAATATGGCAAAGAGAGCAGCAAACGTGACTTCATGGTAGCTAAGAAAATGGTTCCTTGAAGATACACTTCTTTTTGATCCCATTTTTGTGTTAGAAAGCTTGCTAATTTAAGAATTATGAGAAAATATAGATATTTATATTCTCTGCATCAGCAAAATTTGATACTCCAGCACCAACAAAGAATACAATCTCTCGAATTTTTAAGGATTTATAAAGCAATAACAGAAGTTACACTAACAGTAGTTAGTGTAAATGTGTTCTGTATGTCTCTTCCTTTGATATCATGTTCCTGCACATTAGGTCATTTTAAAGGGGTGGTTAATCTTTAAGAAGATATAATTGAGTAAAGACATCTAGAGTTGTAAATGGTAATCACCTGAACAGCCTATTTGCCATGGTAAATGAAATTAAATTCATGTTGTAAACAAAAATGACACATCATGTTAAGTACTATTAGAAAAATATGAAATTCATGATAGACTAATTAGTCAGTAAGCACTTGTAGTTAATATTTGTAGAGAGTTCCTAACAGATCAACCTTAAACCCTCTGACTCAAGTCCTTATTGAGGCATTTCTTTTGTTGTACATGGGTAGAAAGATTTCAAACATAACATACATAGATTTATAAAGGTTAATGTATATACTGTATCCCTCTCTCTCTATATATATGTATAGTATATAATATGTATGAACCATGTATGTGTACATAGAATATACATTTATTTTGAACAAATTAAAATTTTTGTGACCTTTCTTGTGTCAAAAATGCCAAGTTATGCAATGCAAGGCAGTTAATTTAACTTAAAGTCCATTTAAGCAAGGGTTCACATTGTTACACTTTATGGCTATGTACAATTATAAATTATGGGAGTAGCTGCCATAAGATAAATAAAACATCTGTTTCTAATTTAAGGAAATACGCTAGTTGGGGAAAATTTTGCTCACTTGCCCTGGACTTTATCCCATTAAGCACTCATAGTAGTGGATCTATGCTACACGGGAAAATAAAAACTATTAATTATGATTTAAGTATAACGTGTCACTAGAACATCTATAGTTTGTATAGAAACAAGTCTAGAATTAAGAAAAAATAACAACAACCAAATAAATAAAACCAAATCTAATCTGAGGCAAACTAACTTGTTTTTTGCTTTGGCACATAAATTCACAGAGATGTAAGAAAGTATTACATCAGAAACCCTTAAAACACTGAAATTATGGAATCTTATACTAGGTTTGGATGAAGTATAACTACAAATTTCTTTACCACTGAAAAAAGACAATGCATGTTGTGCTCAAATCCTTATTAACAAAGCTGGAATATAAATAAATAACTTTCTTATGTATAAAGCTTTAAATTGAATTAATATTTATTTTCACATACTGTAAAATGCATACAAAATGAGAGACACTTCTGAAAGAGTGGGCAGAAAGTTATTTCACTGACATTATAGGGAATAGTCTCTAATAACAGGCCAGACCCATGATTCACGCATGTAGAAAGCCAAGAAAATGCATGAACAATCACTGTCTTCCTTATACAGTTGATTCAGAAGTAACCATTTTCAGAAAATCAAATAGAAACCCAAATCACAATTTTTTTTTTTACTTTCTAGAATGGAGGCTGCAACACGAGTTCAAATGTTGTGTTACAAAAATAGGATAAAAATAGATGAAATATAAAATTCAAATATAAAATGATTTATTAGACTCTGAACCAAAATCAATATTTAAATTGCAAATTCTCTTTCCATGGTGTATTGTAAATAATTACACTTAATATATTCAAAAAAATCATATGCTTTTAAAGGCAATCATTATGAACAACAGAGGAAGTAAGCACAGGTGACTGTGAAAAAGAATTTACCAGTTCATATAACACTATTCTAAAAAGCTATTAAGATAAAATAAGACTTTCCCTACCAGAAAATAAAACTCATTACAGAATTGTAATAATAAAAGTGTACTAATAATATAAGATTAAAATTATATTGCAGTGAAATAGAATGAAGAACACATGAAAATGTCATATATCAAAAACATGGTGTTATATGATCAGATGATGGAAAAAGGTTATTCAATAAATGGTGCTGAGTTGATTCGCTATGTATCTTCAGAAAAATAAAATTAGACATGACTCGCAGCATAAGGAAAAGTAATCTAGGCGAATTAAATATACATAAAAATGAATACAACTTAGAAGAGAATATATTAAAATGTTTTTTTGATGATAAGATATTAAGTTTTTTTTCAGAGTTAATTGAATTTATTGGTACATTTTAGGGATACAGTACAGTTACATTCATTGTTGGTACCTCTACATGACAAGTCTTGATTCTCATTTTTTCCCCTTACCCCTGCCCTCCCTTCACCCCCTCCTCCCCTCCCCATCTACAAACACTTTAAAGAAAAAGATAAGATACTAAGTTTTTAAAAAGGATTACAAATAAAAAGGACAAAAATTTGGAAGATGAATTAAATTTACCTAGTGACACTCACTTAAAAATGTCAAAAAAGAGTAGAATCGCCCGGGAGTTAGCTCAGAGGTTCCACTGCCTGCCTTGCAAGCGCAAGGACCCAAGTTCAATCCCCGTTTACCAAAAAAAAAAAAAAAAAGAGTAGAATCCAAAGCCACTAAACGGAAGTTTTTTTTTTTCTGAATATATTTTAGCTTAGGTGTAACAATATGCACTACAGCTTATTCATTAAAAAAATTAAAAATTTATAAAGAATTTCCACTCGTGTGAAGAAAAGACAGAGAAGATCATTAAAAATGCAAAATGAAACAAACTGTGTATAACACAAATGAACAGATTTTTTCAGGTGATCAACTTTAGTAATTGCAGAATTCCAATTAAATAAATAATTAAATATTATTATGTATAACATACCACCAAAAGTTAAAAATCTTAACATTACTAATGTGGGGGTCAATTTAACAAATAATATAGAAGAACAATTTGGGAATATACAGTAAAACTAAATACAATTTTATCCCAAAATTATTCTGATTAAACAACCTGGACAATTTTGCACATGTAGATGATGAAATAATTTTCAGTATCCTACTATCATTTGTTGTTGTTGTTGTTGTTGTTGTTGCTGTTTTGAGGCAGGGTCTCACTATGCTGGCCTTAAACTCATTATGTAGCTCAGACTGGCCTTGAACTCAGAGCAATCTTCCTGCCTCAGCCTCCTGAGTGCTGGGATCACAGATGTGCACCACTGTACCCAGCTATAATATTTTCTTAAATTGTTAATTGACAAGAAAGTAAAAAAAGTGACTTGCAGTGTTTTTATATAGGAAATTATTATTCACAAATTAAAAGTATCTGAACTAGAGCTGTATATATCAGCATGGAATAATACAGCAAAATCATAAACAAACAAGTTTCAGAAGAATCTACATAGTGGTAAACTAGCCTCAAATAGAAATTCATTTGCTTTCTCATATAGTTATGTATTGTAAAAATTTATGTGGGTATAAGAAATGTTTAACATCTCTGACCATTAAACAAATGCAAATTAAATAATCCATCTTACCCCAGAAAGAATGGTGAACATTAAGAAATCAATCAATAGAAAAAGATGGAGTGGCTCAGGAGTAAAAGGAACCCTCCTTCATTGTTGTTGGGAATGTAAACTAGTACAACCATTTTGGAAATCAATATGGAGTTTTCTCAAAGAACTGAAATTAGAAATTCCATGTGACCCTGTTATCCCCCATCTATCTTCCCCAAAGAGCTGAAGACATAAACTATAGCGATACACACATGCCAATGTTTCTAACAGCATAATTTATGACAGCCAAATCCTGGAAGCAGACTGTATACCCATCAACAGAGGAATGCATAAAGTAAATGGGGCCTCTCTATGCAATGGAATACTATTCACCTATTAAGAATGACAAATTTGAGACATTTGTCAGAAAATAGGTGCACCAGGAAAATAAAATGGTGAGTGAAATAAACCAGACACACAAACTTAAATGCTGTATAGTATCTCTCGTTAGAGTGAGGCAAAGAACCAATAAAAAGAATAATAAAGGATGGATAAAAGGGACAAGGGGAAGGATTTCCTGTGATAGGGAAATGGTCCAAGGGAACAAGGGTTAGGAGTGAGGAGGAGAGGAAGAGGAAATAAAGAGAATAAAGCTATGCTAAGTACAGGAATCTAACAACATCAGTGAATGTGAACATTATACGTTATATTATGAGCTAAGATCAATCATTTCAACCACAGTGAAAAATGGGATGGGGAACTGGATCAGGAGGGAGGGAGGGGAAGGGGAAGAGAAAAAAAGTAAACAAGCTGTAATATGTACACATAACCACTCCCTAAGGTGACTGTAAACTTCATGAACAGCAAATGTATACTAATAGAATAATAAAAAATAGAAAATACAGTATTTTTGTTACTTCTTACAGGAAGAGGTTAGTTGTGTTAGTTACTTTTCTGTCGTTGCTGAGGCAAAAATATCTGACCCCCAAAGTTGAAGGGGAAAGGCTTATTTAGCTCTCAGTTTGCAGATGTTTCAGTACATAGTTGGCTGGTTCCAAGACAAGGATGGCAGACAGGCATCACAGAGGAGAAATAACGTAGTGCATACAGGTAACAAAGGCAACAAGGGACCTTAACAGTGTCTTTTTGCTCCTCTATCCTATTCAGACAACTGGGATTCGGGTGGCATCAAACCAATTATTCACCTGTAGTGGTTTAATAATCATATGTCCTTAATTCTAGCACCACATATTCTAGATTCAGTCACCTATGACTGCATGAGGCTTTGGGGGGATTTCTAGACCCAAAGCATAACATTCCACCAGTGGGCCCCCAAATACTCATGTACATTCTTCTACACAAAAGGCATTTAGTCCATTTTGCCAAAGTCTTAAAAGTTTAAGCATTGGTAAAAAGTCCAAGTCCCAATTCTCTTCTGCGTTTTACAGCAAACTCTTAGCTACAAGCCCCTGTCCAAACGAAAAGAAAGTTAAACACTCCTACATACAATGGCACAAGGCAAACATTATGATTTCAAAAGGTACAAATAGTAGGATATGAAGGAATGGGACCCAGGCAAGA